CCGATCACCATTTAAAAAATTCCCCCTCGCTTATTGCCACCTTCCACCGCAAACACCCTGCCGCCCCACGTGTCATCGCCTCCGCCGCTTTACGATTTCGTCCTTACGAAAATTTCACTACTACAACCGAAAAACCCCGCCTTTTCGACTGGATCACAAACCGCTTCACGGACTGCGGCGCTAAGATTCTTGGGACAAGAATATAAAAGGGGGGGGTAATGTAAGGACCGTTTTATTATTTTCCTATCTTCGTTATGTCTTGGTTCTCAAACGCTTTTCCCGTTACACCTCTGGCTCTAGGGCTAGAGGTATCCTTTGCCATCTTACTTCTCATAGCCCTCACAGGCTTTCTTAACCATCGCTACCACTTTATATCACAGATCAGAGACTGGACATCGCTTCCAGCTAGCCAGCACACTGGGTAGGGACTGGTAGTAGGCATCTCGCCAACCAGCTCCAAGCCCCAGTAAAGCCTGGTAATACTAATAACGCCTTATCTAGAATCGTACCTCATTATGAGGATACGGTTCCTGACCACGCGTGACAATCTTCTATTATTAGTACAAATCTCTCACCTGCTGATTAATCAAGTCAGAAGTCGTACGATAGTTACCTCCCCTTTTTCTTATTGGTTGATTAATCCCTCAGACCACTTTTCGTATATTCTCTTTTCGGTCTGAGGCACGGACAGTTCCCTATATAAAGCCGTACCTATTCATGTATAGCTCCTTAGCTTTCTATTACTGAATTTACCCGCTTTACTCCTCAACAAGAACCTTTGAAGCTTACCTCTTAAAAGTCCTCGACTCGCTGTATTCATTAGCGTCTGTTGACCTCAAGCTCATCGAACCCTTACTCCCTGCAAGTGCAGAAGGAGATAGGTTTAGTTCTTGTTATAGTTTATCGTTGCCTCACAATAGCTATAGGAGCTATATAGGCTGCTATAGGCTATAAGAGCACTTATAGTACCTTGCCTATAATAATTTACTTGACTCCAAACACTTCTGGCCTTTTTCTATTATTAAACAAGTTTATTAGATTAATCCAGAGTTTGAGGAAATTATAGATACTTCTCCCCTTGGTTAAAATTTTGCCTGCTACTGTGCTATAAGAGCTATAAGAGTTATGATTGCACTGATAGTACTATAGTTTCTATGAATGCATTTATATATATAGGTGGTGGCTATATAGTGCTATATAGCAAAAGGGTTTTTCCTGATGCTGTGCATGCGCAATCTCGTCTCGGAGGAATTGGTGGGGGTCATCTAGATCTATAGTGTATTCTCAAGCTCTAGCAGAAGTGAGGTCGCATTCCGGATGCACAGAGGTGATAGCCCTTGTTTGCAAAGAAGGGGGATACCCCTGTAGCTGTAACAACCCAGAGTTTGTATACTTTTTTGTATACTCTGGCGCACAACTCAGACAAAGCTGTAAAGGTAGTGAGGGGAGGTGGTTACCCTTAGGATAGGACCGAGTTAGTTGTGGGTAAACAACAGGAGGACTCGCTGAGGAGTCTCCTGGATCTATTGGGTATTTATATTACTACAGGTTATTTGTACATGTGTACTATACAGTTGATGGAAGCAGTGGCTGATGATGTCATGGGGCACAGCCCGTGTGACCAGCTCCACTGTGTGAGAGTTTTGTAGCTATAAATAAAGAAAAGCAGTGCAGCGCAAGAAAAGGGGAGTTTGAACAAAGGAAAGTGCCACATGGCACAGTGTGTGAAAACTATAGAAGAAAGTTATAGAGGAAAGGAATGAAATTTAAAGGTCCAAAAATTGTGTTATTGTAACACTACCCCCCTTCTAAGGCTCGACTTCCAGGCTCGACCAAATGTTAGAGGTAGTAGTTAAATTTTTGGGCATAGGTTGAAAAAGGGAATTAAAAAGGTTCGAATTCATGCCTCTAAGCTTCCTTGGAGCTGAGGGATTCTTAGAATAAAATTCACGAACAGCATTGCGGAGGTATTGCTTCAATTCCTGATTGAGCCTCTCTGTTTGTCCATCAGTCTGCGGATGGAACACCATTGATAATACAGGTTTGATGCCCAGCATCCGGCATAACTCTTTTGTAAATTTGCTAGCGAATTGCGGTCCCCTATCGGAGATAACCATTTCTGGCAATCCATGGATAGACCATACTAAATCATTAAATAGATCTGCCGTACCAGCGGTGGTAATGGTTTTGTTGGTGGGGATGAACACCACTTCTTTGGAGAAGCGATCTACTACCACCATTACTGAATCATACCCATTTGATTCGGGTAGATCTGTTGTGAAATCAACCAATATATCCTGCCAAGGACCAGCTGGTATTGGATTTGGCATAAGTTTACCGGCCGGCGGTTGATGCAAATTCTTTGCTATGGCACATCTCAGACAGGATTTTACATACTCCTGTACGTCTTTGACCATGTCAGGCCACATGTAGTTTTTGGAGATCAACTCCATCGTTCGTTGCCACCCAGGGTGCCCAGCCACTGGAGTATTGTGATGTCTATCTATTGCCTTGATCCTTGCGGACTCAGGCACATAGATTTTGTCTCTAAAATGGAAGAGCCCATCTTCCCATAAATAGTTTTCATTGCCATCAAGGTGTGCCTTCTCTTCTGAGGAGATGTTTTTCTTGAAGACTTCCAGAAGATCGGAATCCTGCCTGATTCTAACATTGGCAACCCTTGATTGATCTATCAGGGTGACACCTTTGTTGTCATCTTCAATGCCATTGGCATGATCCTCTCTTCTGGATAAAGTGTCTGCTTTCCCCATAGAACTTCCAGGCTTATGAATTAATTTATAATTAAACCTAGACAAGTACACCGCATAGCGGGCCTGTCTCCGGTTCAAGTCTCGAGCCATCATAAAGTACTCCAGATTTTTACGATCGGTCCAAATTTCAGATTGGTGTCTAGCACCTTCTAAGTAGTGCCGCCAGTGCTCTAGAGCTCTAATGATGGCCAGCATCTCCTTATCATAAATTTGATAGTTGCGCTCTGTGGGCGACAAACTATGTGATAAATAGGCACAAGGCCTCCAAAGATCATCAGGGCATTTAATTGATAGAACAGCCCCAGTAGCAAAATTAGAAGAGTCAGTTTCTAGCCTGAACTCTTTGTCTAATTCTGGAAATGCTAATATGGGTGCTGTTGTAAATGCCTGTTTAAGCTTATCAAAAGCTTCTTGTTCTTTGGCGCCCCAGTGCCAAACAATGTACTTTTTAGTGAGATCATTTAACTGTCTCATTATTTTCGTGAAGTTTTCAACAAATCTTCAATAGAAGTTGCCTAAGCCAAGGAGGGCCCTAACTCCTTTGACGCGAGTAGGTTCTGGCCAATCCAATATAGCTTGAACTTTCTCAGGGTCCATCCTGATTCCGTTCTTGCCAATTATCATACTAAGGAAATCTACTTCCTTCACTTGAAAGTTAGATTTTTCGGGTTTGACAAATAGGTCCTGTTCCTGTAAGTGTCAAAGGACTTCTTGCACGATCCTGTCATGCTCAGCCTCATTGTCTGACTTCGTGAATATTAATAAATTGTCAATGTAAATGACAAAAGATCTTGTTCATCATGCTCTGGAAGGTCACTGGTGAATTGGTCAGCCCGAAGAACATAACAAGGGGTTCGAAGGATCCTCGGTGGCACGTAAATGTGGCCTTTCAAGCATCTTTTTCTTTGATGTGTACATTATTGTACCCCCATCTGAGATCCATCTTTGTTAAGATCTTGGCACCAGCCAACTTGTCTACTAGCTGACTGATCAAAGGCAGCGGATACGCATTTTTAACCGTGTACTCATTCAAGTAACGATAGTCTATAATCATGCGCTTCTTGTCATCCTTTTTAGGAATGAAAAACACAGGGGATGCCATAAGGTTTTTGGAAGGTCTGATGTAACCTTTCCTAAGCTGTTCGTCTATGAAACTAGAAACCTCGTCTCTTTCTGGAGCAGAGAGGGGAATCATGTGTCCCTTTCTAGGTTTGAAGGTGTCCTTCAAATCTATAGCATAGTCCCATGGTTTAGCCTCTGGGAAGCGCTCTGATCTGTGTTTTGAAAAGACTTTCCAGAAGTCATGGTACTTGGGAGGTACCAGCCTCTTAATCTCTTCCTCGGGTTTTACCTCATCATCGTCATCGTCAATCTTTTCTAGGGATCTGAGCTCATAAATGTGACCAGCATTTATCCTTTCATCAAGCTCAGTTTGACGGACATGACTTGGCTTACCCAAGTCATCACACTCCTGAGGGCAACGTGACAATGTGACAACCCCTGTCTGCCAGTCAATCTCAGGATTGTGTTTAAATAGCCAGGTCCAGCCTAGGATTAAATTAATCTTCCCTAGTTGGGTAGCTTCGGCGGTGACTCGTTCTCTGTGTCCCTGGTACTCAACAACAAAAGAACATTTGTGCGTAATGCAGCTACCCGCATTAAGCGTACCGTCAACGTTATAGACGGGAATAGATACATCTAATTTTACAAGGGGGAGTCCAATTTGCTCCGCCCAGACCTGATCTATGAAGATGTTGTTAGCGCCTGAATCAAGCAGTGCACTGGTTGGGTGTACTATGCCCTGGGCAAGGTTTTCCACACCAACCTCTAAACGGATCTCCTTTTGGAATAAATACGTGCACATCAACACACGCCTTGGGATTTTGGGGAAGGGTGGCTCCAAGGAAGAAGAAGAATTGAGAGAAACAGGTTTTTCTACTTTAATATTTTCTATGTTTTTATTTTTATTTTTACCAGAATCAAGCACCCTAGTGTTTATCTCGCTGGGGCCACGCTCCAAAGGAGGCGCTGGTGCAGTGGTAGTATCATAAATATTACAATCACAGTGCTTTATACAAGTACATACTTCAGATAACAAATTTAGAAATCTATTTACAAATTGGGGAGCCACCCCTGTCTTTCCTTTATTGCTCGTGCAACACCCCGGAGCAGGGGCCACCTTGTTGTGGTTCACTTCATTGTTCATAGGAGCGAAGGCACCCAAGTGACCTAAGCTCCAAACTCTTTTCCCTGAGCCTTCATCTCAGCAACCTGCTGGTCGTAAAAGAAGGCCCGGATCTCGTCGTATGAACGACCAGCCAGAGTATTAAGCCAATCATCCGGTTTTTCCATTTTTAATTGGTGCGCCTGGTGCCCTTGGTTATTTTTGTGTTGGGCAGCCTGCACCCCATTTCTACAGTCTCAGGACATGTGTCCCTCTTGACCACAGTTGTAACAGTTGCCCTTGAATCTGCACATCTGTCCGCCTTGGACCGCGCCGATATCCATAGGAGCACCCTGTCCTGGCTGCAGCCCGAACGGCTTGAACCCGTGAAAGTGATTATGGTGGTTTGATGACCAAGGGCGCCTCTGGGATTGGTTGTTTTTGGTAGTGGGCCCGCCACCTTGGTGCATAGCATAGAGCTCCATGGCTCTACTGACTCGTCGGACTTCCTCAGCTGCCAGGGCCAGTTGTTGCTTTGTGTATCCTGCAGATAGATCTGTTTGGCAATGTGTGGGTTCACATTGCTCTAGCAGCTCTACTGCATGTTCATTTCCAAGCCCTCCTTGTATAGAGAGAGCCAGGAACTGGGTGACATAGTCATCCGTCCTCATGCTGTCTTGCTTGAAGGAACGGATTTGCTGACGCACCCAGTCACGCTCAGCTTGCGGTTTGAAATATTTTTTGATCTCTATCTTGAGATCGTCCCGGGTGGGCCACACTCCCGCTGTGTAGCACTTCTGCAGTCTTACTTGGGCATATTGACCTGCCACAGGTCCTTTCAGTCCAGATAGTACGGCAGTCGCTATCTCAAAATCATCAGCAAATGTGTCCCAATTTGCCTTGATCCAAATCTGGAGCTTGATCCACCATTCAGCAAATTGAGCCCTATCCCCTTCGAAAGCGCCGGGGTCAGCAATGATCTTGACTTTCTTGTTGAACTTTTGCTCAATTGTAGGTTCTGCTGCTGGGGCAGCCTGAATCTTGGCGAGCTGATTTGTCAACGCCCGAATTTGTGCACGCATGTTGTGCAGAAGACTGTTCATATTGGGTTGCGACAATGTGTCGACTTGTTCTCTTTGTAAACGTAAAAAAACGTAACTGGGAGTCCCCGCTTGCTATCTGCGGATCTACCTCTTCCCAGCTGAGTATCGGATCTCAATCTCCGACTACCCACACTATAGTATTTGAAATTGTATATATAAGGTATTTGTAATAAACCCTGGTCCGAACGGTTGTCAGGGGGTGGTCCGCTTGTTAAACTGTCAACCCTTCTCCAGACTGGCGGAGGCAAGTGCCTGGCCTGGTCAGAGGAAAATGAAGAAGAAGTTTGTATGTAATTTCTAATTAACAGTGGTTCTACACCAACTGCTGAGCTAAAGTACTCCCCTTAACATTGGGGGCCGTGTACAGATAATTGCCTCTTCTCCCTGAGCACTACAGGGCCGTCGCTAGGAGCGCACCCTTCTGCTATACGGGATATTCCAAAACAATAACCTCTTAACCCTGGGGACCGGGTTTGCACAAAGTGCGAGAGAGTAGTAAGAGCGAGTCCTAATGTAACAACCCAGAGTTTGTATACTCTGGCACACAACTCAGACAAAGCTGTAAAGGTAGTGAGAGGAGTGGTTACCCTTAGGATAGGACCGAGTTAGTTGTGGGTAAACAACAGGAGGACTCACTGAGGAGTCTCCTGGATCTATTGGGTATTCATATTACTACAGGTAATTTGTACATGTGTACTATACAGTTGATGGAAGCAGTGGCTGATGATGCCATGGGGCACAGCCCGTGTGACCAGCTCCACTGTGTGAGAGTCTTGTAGCTATAAATAAAAAAAAACAGTGCAGCGCGAGAAAAGGGGAGTTTGAACAAAAGAAAGTGCCACATGGCACAGTGTGTGAAAGCTATAGAAGAAAGTTAAAGAGGAGAATGAAATTTAAAGGTCCAAAAATTATGTTATCGTAACAGTAGCAGTGCTTGGAGTGTTGTTAGTTGTTGTACACAAACTCCGCTAACAGAAGGAGTTCAGACCAGTTGTCCTGCTGGTAGTTGCAGTAGATCTGTAGGTACTGCTTGAGCGTTTGATTAGTTCATTCTGTCTGTCCGTTGCTCTCTGGGTGGTAACCAGAGGTGAAATGAAGGTGGATGTTGAGTGCCTTTCCAAGGGAGCGGAAGAAGTTGGAGACAGACTTAGAGCCACAATCAGAGGTGATGTGGGCAGGGACTCTGTGCTTGGAGAACACATGTAGGAGGAAAAGCTTTGCTAGCTCTGGGGATGTGATGGTATTGTAGGTGGGGATAAACAGGGACTGTTTAGTGAGCCTGTCTACGACTACCAAGATGGCTGTGAAGGCTTCAGAGGGCGGAAGTTGCTCGATGAAATCTATAGAGATGGGGTTTCAGGCTTTCTCCGGAATTGGCAGTTGCTTCAATGTATTGTAGGGTTTGTGGCGAGGCACCTTGGCTCTGGTGCAGGTAGTGCAGGACTTGACGTAGTCCTTGACAAAGATCTGGAGCCTGGGCCAAGTATATTCTTGTCAGATGAGTTCCAGGGTTTTGTTCTGACCAAAATGGCTGGAGAGGGGATGATCATGCTTATCCTGGAGTACTCGGAGTCGGAGGTCACTGGCATCTGGGACGTAGAGGTGGTTGTCCTGCCAGAGGAAGCCATTGGGGTCAGTAGACCAACGGGGGTTGTTCTGAGGGAGGTTGGCGACGAGAAGTCATTGACCTAACCTAAATGCCATCCCCAATTCCTTGAAAGATGAGTCGTATGTTGTTGACAGTTGCTAACTGTAGCCAGACGGAACCAAATATGCCGATCTTCTTCTAGTTCGACACAAGTTATCGTCATCCATCCGTTGCATAGTGAATTATTCCCTTCTGCAGCTTCGAAAGGAGAGCAACGTATAATAATATTATAGCTTTGCGCTTTGAATACGTCATAAAAGTAATAACACCAGCACGTGACCGTCATAGTAAAGGGCGAATTGTTGAACTCGAAGTTTTGTTTCTTAACTGGACCGTAGTTCGCAGTAATAACAGCCCTTGCATCACACTCCTTTCTCGTACAGTGTCTGGGAATTCCACAGTTGACCAAAAACTCGTACAACGTCCCATCTGGCATCAACGTGACATTTTTTGGAAGTTCGGGGCATTGTCGACTTTAAATTGGATCACCATGTTACATTACAAAACATTCGAAGCATGCGTGGCGGTTGATGATATTCAATTGGAGGAATATGGCGTTGAGGTGTTCGAGGAAGAGAACAAGGTAACATCAGTATCCCCTGTCAGGCGAAATTACTAATATAACGGTCGATATCTGTAAGGTAACATGTTGGATTGCTTCTGAAGCTGGAAAAGTAAGGGATTGACTACATTCGCATACCATGCTTTTCGCTAAGTTAAGCTGCAGCAGTTTGCAGTGAAGTGGCAGGCCACCGTTGGGGACAATTCAAAGCATATTCAAGGAAAGGGGGTAGCGGGTCTGGTAATGTTGGATGGAGTCAAGTGTGGCGGGCGGTTGATACCATCGGTGCACGGACAAAGACGAGTCGAGACAATCACTGCAGACTCGGTCGCAATTTCTCGCACGTCTGTTAGGTCATTCTTATTTTCTCATCTCAGCCTTACGGGTATGTTCCACGTATTACTTGTATATTTATTAACTACAAAGTATGCAGACGATGAGGAGTATCTACATTCAGCGCCCAAGGGGCTTGGTGAAATACAGCTGGATTTTTGGGATGTCCTGGGATCAGGAGAGTGTCCGATGCCAGATAGAGATGTGAGAACCGGGGAAGAAAAGATTCACGAGCGTTCCAAGAAGGCAATGACCCACTGTGTCAAGTAATAATTCTGTTATTGCTGAGCACTAGCCTCAGGGGCATTGACAAGAGCGTCGTTCACAGATTTGGTGAAGCGAGACCATCAGCAAGTCAAAATGTGGCGATGGTGAAGTATCTGAACCCCAAGCCTTTCGCTACGTTTGTCTTCAAATATAGAGCTTCTGGTATGACCTATCAATAACTCTTTCAGAGATTTTCTTAGCTTGTTTCCTTTCCTGTAGCTATGCTCAGAGCAAATGGAATCATACCCACCAGAGCGGGAGAGAAGAGACCCGCAGATGAAGAGCCTGCAGTTGAGATTATTGACGAGGTGATTCATGATATCAAAAATGAGCAGGATGGTGACCTGGTGTATGACGAGTACTCGAGGCAAATCCAAGCCATGAAGGTGAGTAATGTAACATATCTCAAATTTAAGAAGTAATCTCAGATAACTCCAGGACAAGGTTAAAGAACTCGAGGAGAAGCGTTCTAAAACAAAGAGTCGCCCAACGAAGAAAGTCAAAACAGAATCTCGTCCCTCGAAAGTATTCCAGTCTGGAGAGATCATCGACCTTACGTAGCCCTCTAATTTCAAGCGGTCCCATTCATACTTGTGATGTTGTGGGCTTTCGTCATTCCTTTTTCTTTTCTCTTTTCTCTTCAATTCTTGACATACGCATCGCATTTCTTGTCAGCATCACCACGCATTTCGCCAACGCTAATCAATTTGGTAACTTAAAGATCTTGTTCTCTTTGTTGCAATTGGCGGCCGTCTACTTCATCTTCATATTAGCAGTTGTGTTAAAGTCAGCACGTTTTGCTGTAGGAAGCGTCGAACGCCTTCGAACTCTTGTTCTTGGATTGCGAATGTGAAGGTATTACGCCAGAATATTTCGTAATGAGTAATGCGTCAGTTCTAGTGTTTTTATTATACTTTCCCAATCACTACCTTTGCTGATCACCTATTGGCCCATTGCTGAGGGAAAAGACGCCTTTCGGTTCGGCATTGTTACGCTTTTGGGAACATGGAGGTTACCGAAGAAGAAAAGCTGAGTCCGCGAATTTTAGCCCTTTGTAAGTAACTACGATTGTGGTAAGTGCCGGGATGTCATCAGTACGGACATGTTCCAAATGAACGATGACCCAAGCCTGGAATGTAATGTGACTCAAAGTACTTGTAAGATGGCGTCAGCGTTTCTAATCTCCTTCTTTCCCAGCCACGCTCTCTCCGTACTACTATATAAACCTCCTGTCCGCATTGGATCGTGAAGATATTTTCTTCCACCGCCAACATGTCCACCCAGCATCATCAACAGAAGGCCCTCTTTTTGCAGTCAAAGCAAGGCAAGTTCGTAGTTAGTCCTCGGGATATCCCAAAGCCGGGGAATGGAGAAGTGCTGTTGAAGATACATGCGACGGCGCTCAACCCCGTTGACTACAAGATCCAGCAGCATGGCATTTTCGTTGAGAAGTACCCCGCCATTCTAGGCGCTGATGCTGCAGGCGTCGTGGAAGCCATTGGCGATGGCGTACACACCTTTGTCAAGGGAGATAGAATGTACGTCCTTCTAGTTGTGGCCCACCACCTAGGCCCCTATCCAGATTAATGGCTGTGTTGATACATATGACTACAGCTTTGCACATGGTCTTCTTGAGAACGACAAGGCGACTTTCCAACAGTTTAATATCACCGTAGCCGACTTTGCGGCCAAGGTTTTTATGGTTACCTTCTAGAACAATACATCGCTCATTCTATGCATAGATCCCGGCGACGCTTTCTTATGAGCAAGCAGCTTCCATTCCATTGGGCTTCGATACAGCTTCGACTGGGCTTTATGGAAAATCTAATGGAGCGGGAATTATCCCACCTTGGGAGGCCGAAGCTAAAGGGTTATATGCCGGAAAACCAATTGTTATTTTAGGAGGATCTTCTTCTGTTGGAAGCTACGGTGCGTATCATGTCCAATACATTCATTTTCTCATGCTCTGACTGCCCGTTTCATTACTAACCGCACACTATCGCCACAATAGCCATTCAACTTGCTCGCCTTTCAGGATTTTCCCCTATCATTACCACCGCTTCTCCCCAACACAAAACATATCTTCAATCTCTCGGTGCAACCCATATTTTGGACAGGCACCTCTCTCCTTCAGAACTCGTGGATTCTGGGAACAAGATCATTCAGTTGTCTAAGGCTGATTTGCACGTAGTGTATGATGCCATTTCCATCAAGGAAACGCAGCAAATCGGATGGGAGCTTCTTTCCTCGGAGAGGCCTGGGAAGCTTATTCTGACTCTTCCACCTGTCGTAGAGAAAAAGGAAAACGACAAGAGGGAGGCCATATCAACCTATGGAAGCCCGCATGCACCACAGAATCGCGAGTTAAGCAAGGGGGCGTGGAAGCAGCTCGAAGTGTGGGTGGACAATGGAGAAATTCAACCCAACAACATTGACGTGCTCCCGAACGGGTTAGAGGGAATCATTGGTGGCTTAGAGCGTTTGAAACAAGGAGAGGTGAGCGGGACGAAGTTGATTGCACACCCACAAGAGACTGCTTGAATGCGAGAAAAACTGGTTATTATTATGACAGTATGAGTGAAGACATGTATTTGTAGCTTAAGTAGGGCATAGCAGTAAAAGAACAGATATATCAACGTTGCCTGTATTCACAATTCATGGCTCTAAGTTCAAGTTGTCGCATAGATGGCATGGAGGAAACATAAACACAGAATAAACATAAAAAGCATGTATTAGTGGTGTATAAGGATGATAGTGCAGTAAAAGTTCAGTCCAGATTCGGTCCAGCGGAATTCTGGAAGCGTATAAATGTCGAACCGGGTCAGAACATGCACCCCCAGCCCCCCCTGGAAGCATAGATATGTCCACTCTCGGCAGTGTGGCGCTGTACATCGATTGAAAGCCGGCCATCGGAATTGAAGCGCGCCCGGACTGAGGACATATCGACGTCGCCCGGTGCAAAACGAACTTGCCATTCGTAGTGACCTACACAACGAAGTCACGAGGGAATACCCGGGCCATAATCAGTAACGAAAAAGGCGCACGAAGTTGCAAAATGAAATGGATACGGGACCGACAGAACTCACAGTCATGTTCCATATGCCATGCATCTGCAACTACATCAAGCCGCTCGCCCTTCTTCGCAGATATAGTGACCATTTCAGGTGATATGACTCTTGGGAGGTGCACAATAAGTGTATATGCGTTCAACGTGCTCTGTAAGACCATTGGAGGACAGGAATTTGGCGGTGGGGCGCGCCGAGCCCGAGCTGTGGGTGAAGGAACAGAGGAGTCGCTACTATCGGAAGATTCAGAAGATACTGAACTAGAAGAAAGAGACAGGCAAGGAGAAATGTATGGAAAACGCTGTTTTTCGTGAGATACATGTGTTTTAAAGCGCTGCGGTGACGAAGGGGAAGATGGAGAGCTATAGCTTGCTCCTACATGAACCATCACGAGGGGTGAAGGTATCGGTTTATTTTTTGGAGTTGTCGGGGTGCGAGTAGACATTAGCGTTGGAGAGGGTGTAGGCGTCGGTGGTACTGATGTATCAATGCTGAGGTCCAGTGATGTATGAGACCGGATCGCAGCTTGACGTTCAGGCTTAAGTAGTCTATCCAATGTGCCATAGGAAATGGATGACGTCGACATCGAACTCGCCGAGAGTAATGTTCGGAAATCTGGTACGGTTACAGCTGAAGTAGGAGCTAGGGTTATTGGGATACTGGCTGGCGTGGAAAACGCGATGTTACATCCGTCCACGGGTGAGCTGGCTGGCGTTGCCGCGTTGCAGGGGAAGCCACACGCCGGGTTATCCTTGACAATACGTCCGCTGTCAATTGTATGATCGTGTTTGTATTCATGAATTCGAGCGTGATTGACGCTAGAAGTCCCAACGCTACGGGGAGTAAAAAGGCTAATACTACGGCCGCGAGGTGTCGCTACTGCACGTGGTTATGGCGTCGTACAGCAAAATGTTTGAAAACGCGTGGATAAAATGTTGCATGGATAGGTCGTGTTGAATAAAATAAGAGGTCATTATTTGACATTCGTGGAGCGAGGGAGAATAGGGGTAAGTACATATAAATTCTAAATTCTAATATTAGAATTACTTACCTGGCGCTCGACCGACATGGCTTCTACAACCATCGTTACCCTTTTCGGTCAGAAAATTGTTGAAGCTCGTGCCAGCACTGCTTTCTGAATTGACGGCGAGAGATGAAAATGCTTTGAACTTGTGAGATAAACGCGCACTTGACTTTCGAGGGAGGCACGGGGGCCTAGAACGAAGGGGGGACGCAGGCGGAGAACTACATGATCGTGATGCGGAGCCGTTGATGTTGTCTGCCAGAGACAAGCTTAAGCGGCGGATAGGGTAGTTTAAGCTGGTAATGGACATCGGTTGTTGTAACGATTATACGTAGCACTTTATGCGTGATTTGCACTATCAAGGTAAGTATAGTGGGACCTTTCTTTGCAGCAAGCTATAAGCATTTCTCACCTACAGTTTTAGTCGGGCTGGTCTGATATGGTATACGATGTCCTCCTGAAATGGAGATGGTCGTATTTTAAACCCAACTCACCGAGGCGAGTGCAACAAAGTTATCGAAGATCCAGCACCAGCAGCAATAACATCCCTACCCAGCAGATTATCCCTTCTCACTACAAAAGCTTACCTATGGCCGAGAAACTGTAATCAGCAGCTCCGTACCGTTGCACCAGGTTTGTTTTCGGAGATATCTGGATGATATAATACATGGCCTGGCTTTAGTCGTATCAGATGGCGAACAGCAAGAAGGTATCGTATGTTCTCAATTGCAAACACTTATGAAAGAGCTACATGAGATTATGAATGACGCGTCACCTTGTGGATCTTGCATATAAAGCCTGGATCGTACATCTCAAACATTGCGCATGTCCTTCCCGAATTTCAGAGTTCCAGCGTTCCAATCGATCGGAGAACACAAAGACATGTCTTAGGGTGCCCTGGTAAAACACTCCTAACGGCCAGATGAGGCTACGGTGCGGGAGCCTTCTCAGCCTGGCGTTATTTTTGAACCTGCAGAATTACATTTCCAAAAAGCATTCGTATGTGCATTCTCACCATTTAAAGCCTCGGCGCAGAGAAAAAGATAAACAGGTAAGGTACTCAATCCCATGGTAGAGGCGGTATAAAAAAGATTACTCACAGCATATGAGATCTGCCCATAATGAAAAAGACCAGGTCAGATTAATGAAAACAATTTCCAACCCAAAAACCTCGGGAACAGAAAGGATGCCGCATCATATATGATGCTTGTGCGCTGCATTATCCTATGTCTTTATTGAGATTGGATAACGGACCAAGGCAATAAAACATGATGATATGAAGCCGAGATAAGGGGCTGTGTCTTGCCAGCCATGCATTTGGAATCCCGGGGTCAGACCTTTTCCTATAGGCAATCAATCCATTGCGCAGATACTACTGAGGAAAACCAATACTCACAGTCATCGTGATCGACAGATTGATTGATGGGTGTGTTCGTGTGTAGCGGAGTCGGTACTTTAGACAGTTTTCTACTTGGATCATTCTGACTTCCACAATACAAAACGATCACCTCCGTGTCTATCCTGTGTCTATCCTCGTGTTGATCTTGTTCTTGGTAGGGACCCGATCATAAGTCAGTGTAAGAAGCATTACAAGCAGCAGTTTCTTGTGAAGTGTTTTCTCCATTGTTAACTCAGCACTCATAGAAAGAACTGCCTCTTCCCAGTATGTTAGCCAAGATGCGAGTTAGATCCAGGGATAAACGGTGAACACGTCAAGGCTGACCGGCAATTTGAATTCAATTGCGAGAATCTGATGACAGAATGTTCTCCTACCCACTTCATAAAGCTCGGAGGGATGGAGGTATATGCATGCAAGTTCAGATATATGAACCGAGGACTTTCAAACTGAATAAAGATTCGAAGTGAGATGCATGGCCCATTCTGAGATGGCGACTTGCTGGATGAATGTCAAGGATGCATCGATGTGGTTGCGGGGTAGTCCGGTGGATTCTAACTGAGTTTACTGCTGAGTTCCCCGGTGACCAGTTCTTCACAGGTTCCTCCCGAATGCTCGCTAGACCATCACAAAATATTATGCCATCGAGAATAAAGCTGATTATCGCGGGTCTCTTTATCTGATCCACATAGGCGGCATTGTGGATTTAATCTAAGCGTTACGCATACCAATACACCCCGCTCAAACCAGTCTACACCTACCGGCTTGAGTCATCACAGTGAACTTTGACACAGAGAGTTATAAAAGGCAACTTTCCCATTCTTCGAATGCATTCATCTTTGGTGACTTTGCTTCAGATATCTCGATTAGCTCGGATGGCACCTGCTCCGTTAACCAAGACCTCTCTGGAGCGCTCAGCAGAGCTTGCTGAATCTCTGGCTGAAATCAGAACTCGGGTCCAACAAGCAGCTTTAACCTCGTCGTCTCATAGTACGCCAACTTTACTTGCTGTTTCGAAGTACAAACCTGCCTCCGATGTGCTTGCGTGCTACGAGCATGGGCAACGTGACTTTGGAGAAAACTATGTACAGGAGTTGGTTGAAAAGGCTGAACAAGTAAGCCAGTCATTGATGCTGGGCTGCGAGAAGTTGTTGACATATGCACAAAAAGCTGCCCGTAGATATACGATGGCATTTTATTGGGACATTGCAATCAAACAAGTCGAAGATTCTTGCATGTCAGTGCATCTCATAACATTTCTGCTTTTCTGACTCTTTGACTGGCATGGTTGTCAGCTATTCCGAATATATATGCTATCCAAACTGTCACTTCGGCGAGGGCAGCTACTGCACTCAACAAAGCATTGCCAATAGAACGTACATCACCACTCAATGTCCTCCTTCAGGTCAATACATCAGGAGAAGATGTAAAATCAGGGCTACCTCCTCTCGTCGAATCATCTCCATCCGACTCAGAGCTCGTACAGCTCGCACGCCATATCATTACCACATGTCCCCGTCTTCGCCTTCAAGGCTTAATGACGATTGGCTCTCTCACGGAGTCGCTTGCTTCATCAGAGAAAGCGAACGAGGATTTCGAGACGCTGAAAGGGACTCGCGATGAACTTCATAGGCAACTCGAATTGGATGAGAACCTGCAGAAGGGAGGTGGTGAGTGGGGGGAGGATGGAAAGTTGCTGCTGAGCATGGGTATGTCGAGTGACTTTGAATCTGCCTTGAAGGCAGGAAGTGACATAGTTAGGGTGGGCACGAGTATATTCGGAGCAAGGCAAAAGAAGAGTGAAATATAGGTGAAAGGATTATTACTATTAGAGCATCTGACTATATGCACTTTAGGGAAGCTGTTATCAAGGGCAATATGATGTACCATATTAGCATTCGTTTCTATAAAGCCATATGAGGTATCAGACTAGTCTTCGCTGACTCCCTGGGCGTGATCACGAATACTGTTCCCAACTGTGGGTCAATCTTGTTTATACCCAGGTTTACTGGTAAATTTTGGGCAAAATTCGAGGTGTGCCGAACAGCTGGCTGTGAACTCAGAACTGTACTTACAGGTGCCAACAGGCCTCAGGATTAATCCTGTGCCCCAGATCAAAATATATAAGCCGTGCTCTCGCCAACGTCCTTGTCATACTGTAAAATCGCCGATCCAGACACGGTCAGGCATTAAAACGCGTGCATAGTAAAAAAGAGCCATTTGGGAGATCGAACAAGCCTTGAAGAGCTCTCGGTGCGCTCACATTCATTGGTGTCTCCCGACGCGTCTTGGCGATGCGGCGCGCTGGTTCGTTGATAACCATAACGTGGGAATGAATATTCAAACTCCGCTCCTCCTGCGTTGGTCTCTGTCTGTCACCATTATTGCCGACACCGACGGCGACGCCGCCGTACATACCGACAAATTATCGTGCTGCAGGCCGAATTCACTATAGCGGAACGTTTGGAAAGGCTTTGACGTGAAAGGAAGTGGAAGATATCTAGGCAGAGGACTACAGGACCTAATGTTCACATCAGATCCAAAACCACATTCAAAGCGGAAAGCACCAGATGATTCAAATCCACTCCTCAATGCTGCAAAGAGGAGCAAAAGAGAGGTCAGTATACGTGACTTTTACTTGCGCTCTTGTATTGACGCGATGCAGTTGAAATCAAACGCGTCCAAGCGAAAATGTGCGTGTAAATGCTCTAGATGAAAAAGGACGTGAAAGGCTGATAGATATTGGTATACTCCAGTCATAGGCGAAGAACAGGCAGGTGGGCTAGACATTGTACGCGCTCCAATATCGCGTCCTTCATCTCCACAGAACAATCATTCCTCTCAAACCACTCTCAATACGCGTCCACCCTCTCGACCTCCATCTTCACAAGCACAACGTCACCCCCAATCATTAGCGACACCCGGAAATCCATCGCAACCCAAACATCCTTCAAAGAAATTCAAAGCTGATAACTCTCATGCAGCAACGCATGTTAGGAATGGCGATCTTCTTCCTACCTCACGCGAAGACCCCGGGGTAGACGAGGATGTGAGACGAATGAACTCGGAAATTGATCATCTTCGCCAGCGATCAATCGGTAATGGAATCGCTGATCCTAATATTCACTTTCTCCCTCCATCATCGTCCAAACCAAATCGTCACCCCAAAGATTCATTACACCCCCTGCCCGAAAGCGAAACCCCACAAATTGAGCGTAACAAGCTATTCAGAGAAGGACTCTCACGAGCCCGACAGCCCAGCACATCTCCAGCCCAGCAACATTCGAGAAGGAGCTCTATTAGTACTCGTGGTAAGCGGATAAGCACAAGTTTTGAAGCTACTGGCATTATCAGTGCGTCACTTCCGCTATCATGTTCGTGTCTTTTATATGTTTTACGATTCTGATCTATCTTATTTTTCAAATACATGAACAGCTCAGCCACATACTTCTGTTTCCGATTCAAGTTTTTATAAGCACATCGACTGTGATCTTCCTGAGCCACAGCGTGCGCGTCAATTGCTCATATGGTCCACGTCTCGAGCTATGAATACATTAGCTGAAGCAAGCTCCTCGTCCTCAAATTCACGACGCAAATCTTCTGCACAAGCGAATGGAAAGGATCCACCACTGAGTGAGCGCGGACAACAAGCGCTAAAGGTGGTACAGGAGGACATGATGCGAATGCTAGCAGAGGGAAGAATAAACACAAATGTGTATGGTAAGAACATGCCAGAGGGCACGGGAAATGGTCAAGTGGGTGAGGGAAGTAAGTTCAAGCCAAACGAACAGAATTTAAAGAATCGGGCCCGAGAAATCAAGTTCACGGAGCATATTGACCGGTATTGTACATTTCCTTGACGGGCAAATTTTCATGGAGTTGATTATCCGTCTCTATTTAGTGCTAAAGCAGAACAAGAAGCATGGGTACATGTCGACCAGTTTTACAACTCATATCAGACAAACTCCCTAGCCGACCTAGAAAAACGAAGGCGAGCGCTGACACCACCATCGTCTCTTAAAGCCAAAGGGAAGCAGAGAGCCACATCGGTGGAGCCCGGAGACGACTGGCGATGGCTATTACCCAGAGAGGAAGAGCTGCCAGAAGCATTCAGGGGGAAGAACGGCGTGGAGCTGGCTAAGAGAATCATGGAAGAACGTTTCGAGTCCGGAGAGGAAAGTCCAATAAGTCAGCGGATGGAGGACGTTCGATTCAAAATCGATAGTCTCTTCTCGTTTACGAATTCTGCCGTTCGGATGACAGAAACAGCAGAGGCAGAACTCGATCATCGGTTCTCCTTACTTTCCCTGGTCCTTTCTGCCCGTGCTGAGTCCGCCCCACCACCAACCCAGTCACCGACATCGCTGTCTTCATACTTGCCATTACCTTCACGAGGCCGGAGCCAACCATCATCATCAGATCCACAAGATCTTTTAAGGGCTCTATGTAGGGTTGACTTGGATCGGCCACCTGGCAAAGTGGGCGATGCAGCTCGTAGAGCTGCAAGAGAAGTGCAGCGGGTACAAGAGGGTGGTGGTGTTGGGGAGAGGCGATTGACAGGCATTGCCCCTGGAATTGGGGCAACACCAAGGAAAGTTCCTGGTACGCCTCGACGGAAGGACAGATGACTATAGTGGGCAGAGATTTTCATTCATCTTTGGTGGAATAATTGTTTTCTCTTATCCAACTTTTATCCCGGTTTCTTCCAGCTGTCGTTTTGTTTTCGCATGCTTATATATTTCCTCATGCTCGAAATCTATGTATCTTTCATCTATACACCCCGACTCGTTAGGAGGCGGGAGGTGAAAGGGTTCTGGCTGTATATCAAATATTCCCCATTCCTTTCTATTTTTTTTTGTTTTTTGATTTTGGCCCAGTAATCATACCTTTGTATCCTTGGTCCTGGTGGATAGCGCGTGTTTCTGTAAGCTTGTACCGGTAATCGTTTGCCCCGCCATAGTGTCTGGAGTTGTGGTTGAAAGCTATGTCACAGTAATAGTCGATGCTGTGTCGGTGACACGACCCAAATCCGAACCGCATCCATCCTGGAAACACGCACACAACTGAAGCTTGAAGTCCTCTCCCTCACTGGCATTCCTGTGATCCCACAATACTGACCACAACATACTTTAAGCTAGAATTTCCTATACGCGTGTTGAGGTTGGAGTTTCTGAATACTACAGTACGCAGGTTTTCTCAACACACTGTTGCTCTTGCCCTCAAGTCTCAAGGCAGCGTGCCCACTCCAGATGATTTGCGCACGGACGATCTTCCGTTGTTTTAGATGGCTCGAGCGGATGGGTGATCGGGTTACAGGGGCCGCAGGACCATTTTTTGTTGGTCTTGCTGTCATACTGATCAGTCTTGGGACTGTATGCTTTTGTGAGCGCTCTCGCCTAGTTTTAAAAAGCACTTACACGTCCTTGAGCTAATAAACTATAACATTGAACCCTTCTTCATCAGTCGACGTGATACAACCTACTCTGCGTTTTCCTTGGTTAACCACGCCGCCATGCATTCTAATTGTCTGCAATTTATTCATGCACTATTACTACGTTTGTACCATCCCTCCAGGGTTCATCCAGGATGGCCCTCGGGAAGCGAAGGGCGGCATCTTATGGGCGGGAGAAAAACCAAATTCAAGTGAGCAAAGGAGGGGCGTACGGTGGTCAGGTGAAGATGGACTGGGTAGCGGAATCAAAATATCAAAAGCCAACTTAACCATGTGTAAGAAGTGTGGGCAAACTCGACCTGAGGTGAGTATTGCATTTCATGAATTTTAGCATTTTGTTGTCATTCAAAATCGTTGGCCTTACGAGAGGTCACACCACTGTCGAATATGTAAGCGATGTGTACTCAAGTACGACCATCACTGTCCAGTGAGTCCACCCGATTATCCCTGCTCTATGATATTCCTAATATAAAACCGTAGTGTGTGTAATTTTCATTCGTTTGACAAGTTTTAGCATAGACTCCTTTTTGTGTAGGGGTAAATCAATGCGTCGGACTGCACAACGAGCGGCATTTTGTTATGTTCATGTATGATTCTCCATTTATTGTAGAGTAGCATTGATTCGATCTCGTCTCCTTGCAGGGCATATCTTGTTATTTCCACATTTTGCTACAGTGTCCTCGGGTATCAGAAGATGCTTGGTGCACTAGGTTTGACTTTCATGGTATGCCTTATATTATCCTTCCCCGTGACTGATCTTCTCAATTCCTCCTAAATGCACAGTTTGATTGGCCTTACTTGGTTCCGTCGCTCGCATATATCCTCATCTACATGTTGTCCGTCGTGTTGTGCCTCGCAGTAGGCATCATGCTTAGTTGGCACCTCTTGGGTGTTGCAGCGGCCGAGACATCGGTCGAATCACAGGACCATGATGTATACCGAAAGATTGCGAAATCCAGAAATGATGTGAGCTCGATATATGCCCCCTGGCGAAATATACTGAATCAGATTATTTCTAGACGTTTGTTAATTCGTATGACCTTGGGTAATGCGCTCTGTTGTGGGAGCCAGTCACCATCACTTACTTTGTTCCCAGAAAGCGCAAGAATTTAGAGCTATTTTTCAATATTGGGCCCACAGGATAGTGAGTTTAAGGCTGTGCTCTCTAACTATCCCTGTTGATGCTCATTCCTTGGCATAAAAGCCCTTGGTATACCCTCATTCTCCCGCTCCGAATCATGCCCTACACAGACGGCCGTTCGTGGGCTCGACGAGAAGGGTTTGAGCGTCACCGCGGTGTAAGAGAAGGGGAGGAATTGACTGATGAAGACGACGATGAGCACGCACCCTAAGGTGCATGTGTACTCATATTTCTTAAGCTTCCTTTTGCACCTAATACCTTAATTTATAGCAAATAATTTAGTGACATTGTAATGTTTATCTGGTGAGCTTCTTGGTGTCATTCTCTTTTCTGGTACTCTGATATGCCGAACGCATAACTGGGTTTATGATGATATTCGCCGGGGCCATACGACTCTTTGAAGGAGTTCCTCGGGACCCTTGGAAAGTAGTTTGATTTACATCCGGCTTTACACTTTGGCTTACTGCCCTAGTTGATTTCCATCTGATTTTTGTCCTCTTCTCTTCTTCGACCATCCTTCATCGTCTTGTCATTGCTTACCACATTCTTGTTTAGGTTACTGTAGTGCTGCAGATACTGTCGAATACAAGCTGTGACTATTCCAACCGCATGGTGCCTACGCAGTTCCCGCTCCACTCACCGCCTCATCGACTGAGCAATGGACAAAGTGTATCTCACATTGCCTGTGCGGTCATTGGCGTTCCTGGTTTCATCCATTTTCAGTAAACAGCTGTGGCGTCCTGTGCTAACCCTAACCCTACTATATACCAGCTTGTTCCGGTTTATAAGGTGACATAGGATCGGTCATAATAGCCCTAATACCGCAGTCTCCCAATATCTCAAGCTCAAAGCTACAAGGATGGCATCCAGCGATGGCAACCATCTCTCTGAGGAGTACATTCAAAACAGCTTTCACAGCTATCTCAAGTCTTCCTTGACTCAGGCTAAGGTCGAAAAGTTGCTTGATGCTGATATGCTTGCAAGCGCGGAGGGTGATCTCATGATAACAGGTGTGTAGTGTCATCTACTTGTTTTGCAACCGTTTAGTATGAATATTTACTTAGTCATTCATGTAACGAAGGTCCTGCACTATGCTTATATTTCGCTGCCTTGCGTAGTACCACCAATCCTGCGTCGGTCCCTCTACCTCGCCGCTCTAAAACGTCACCCCCTGTAGAGCTCTCAGAATCCAATTGCCCTCCCCTATTCGTTTCTTTTCTTCGAGTGTGGTCATCAAATGTACCTCGCATTCAATCCCTAGCTCCTCAGTATCAGCACGATCTTGCTCGCGTCATATGCGGACTGGAGCCCCTTTCTCAGCCTCCTGATCCGAATTTGAACGGGATATCTGCTGACCTGCGTGCAGTCGCCATTGAGATCAGCCAGCGAAGATCGTTCCAAGATCGATACGCCTCTGATCTTCAGGCTGCCCTTGATGCGGGAAGTCCTTCAGGTAGATCAAGTCTCAGAGTAAAAGCCTCCTTTGTTCCACCGCCTGTCTATGATCCTTCTCCTATTTCGCCATCAAGTTCAAAAACCTCATTTGGTCGTTCGCCATCACCCACCATCCTTACAGCAAATTCCCCGGCCATCGAGTTTATACGTGAGACGCTGTACGCTTCCCTCGCTGACGTTCTCGAGCGTACTCCATCATTGCGAAGGCTGCTCAAACGGGACCCTTCTCGCGCATATTTCGCTTCCGTCTCCTTTGCTATTCTTGATGTTGCCGTCACTGCCGTCACGCCCACTGGGGCAGTGATGGGTGTACTCGGAAAAGAACTAACACTTGAAGAATGTCCCAAAGAGCTGCAGCCGTTCATGGCAGAACTCGCAGCCATTGGAAATGCAGCACGAGAGATGGAAGAAGAAGACGATGAGGTCGCCATGCGTTGCGCAGAACGAGGAGATGACATCCCGGAGCCTAGGCTGGACAGAGTACGCAAGGTGTTAGAGGGTGGTGTGGGCTATCAAGAAGGGCGAGAAAGGGAGGGTCAGGGGAGGAGAAGTGTTGAAGGGAGAGCAGTTGCTTTCACAAACAGAATAAACGCCCTAGGGCTAGGGATATCGAAGATCAAAGCTTTCCGAGACAGACAGGCAGATGTGTTCAAAGTTTTGGCTGGAATTGAATGATCTACTCACCACACAGACGAAATGTACGGAATGGTATTTATTTGTTTTCTTGTTTTGGGTCAGTTGATGATACCCTATGGCACATTCTACTTACAGTATTGGTCATTAATGAACTCGTGGTATACCGCGATCAACCTAAATGTTAGACCTCGCGCATTTCAATAGACTGAATATAATATTCGTTCGTCGCCAAAGGTTGAATACGCAAACCAGCCAGTAAGTCTGCCCGAAGTTCGGTCATGGACCTGAACCAGACCTGGCCCTAACTAAGGTCCACATCGACTCTACGGTAAACCCATCAGCAGTCCTCGGTGAGTTTATACTGGGAAGCAACCACTGTGGGTGGAGCGCTGGGTTTTTGAATCAGACACGTTAACAAAGATGGTGAATAACTGCACTCACCAAAATAAGTCATATGAAGGGGCTCGAGGCAGATCCAGGACATTGGTGTTTATAGAAATCACAGCCTCCACAACCAATACGACTTAGCCGTTACCTGTGTTCACCCTTCACATATCAAATACATACTATGCCTAGACAGCTGTTGATAACGGTACATCAGTTGAGAATGGCCTTCCATGGGCTCCAAAAACAAGCATCACTGACCTAATTTTTTGACAAATCATTTAATATGTATCTATTCTTGCTTCTGCAAAAATTTAGGTCGACGACACTTGTTTTTTTGGGTCTGTGGAAGGCCATTCTCAACTGATGTACCATTGTCACAGCTGTCCAGGCATAGTCCATCTTGGAACAGATGGGACAGTCTGCATAGGTGATAGTCACATTCCAATGACGTAATGAACTGATGACTGTGAGGCCGCGAGGGCGACTTACCAAGCAATCCATGGAATAGTAGAGAAATTGATGAGTCAAGCAAGACGATTGCTACGTATGCGATCACAAAAACCAAGGATTACAACGGCACTGATAATTCAATGGTCTTAGTAATCGACCTCGCCAGCTTAGAAATCACCTTCCAGTGTGGTCTCTAGATATTGGATTAGTTATCATACTGTAGTGAAGCGAAGAAACCTACGCATTGTTTCCTAGACTATAAATAAAGGGACACCTGCTGCATCTACCTCATCACTCTCCTCTCCATACCCAATTACTCTTGTGAATCATCACTTACATTGATAAACGATGGCAATTAAGATCTACGGTGTCCTACTGTCAACTGCAGTCCAGCGTGTGGCATTGGTCTGTAACGAGAAAAATGTCCCATATGAAATAATCCCGGTCGACATGAAGAACGGCGCGCACAAAGAGCCAAGTTTCCTCAAAAATCACCCCTTCGGACAGATTCCCTACATTGTAAGAGATCCCTGTTTCCATCGATCGACGCCAGACTAATTGCTGATCTGAATGTCACAGGACGATGATGGCTTCATCCTCTATGAGTCGCGTGCCATCGCGCACTATATCACAAAACAATACGCTTCCCAAGGGACTCAAGGTTTGATCCCGACAGACGTGAAAGAAGAGGCAATCTATGAGCAGGCCATCGCGACTGAACTGTCGCACTTTGACTCGCAAGTGACAGGCCTGGCGATGGAGAGGGTGTACAAAAAGTAAGAGCTCGTGATCCGATTGCATTGTTTGTCTGACGATAAGTTTCTGCTCAGATACCGTAACTTGGAGTCAGACGAAGCAAAAGTCGCCGAAGTGCTTGCCACCTTTAATACCAAGTTAGATGCATACGAAGTGATTTTAGGAAAACAAAGATATGTCGCAGGCGATGTGAGTTTTCACCTTCCAACCTCTGTTCAGGCCACGCCGTTGAGGGAATGGCTTGATCACATTGAGACTCGGACGTGGAAATGGCTACTTACGAAAACTATTGCGTTACAGAATCTAACCCTCGCTGACCTGAATCACGTCCCGAACGGACACATGTTGAAGCGAATGGGATTCGATATCCTTGACTCGGAAACACGTCCTAATGTCGCAAGGTACGTGATCCACCACGAGCATAGCGCACTCATCGACTGACCACCGTTCACAGATGGTGGAAAGATATCACTTCGAGACCTTCTTGGGTCGCTATTGTAGCAGACTTGTGAGGATCTGGAAAAATACCGGGTGTAAACATAGCGTTAAGACAAAAGTCATGTCAATGAATAATAAAAAATCAATCGTCCCATTCCTACTCCAGTTAAATGACAGGAATAACGCGAAGGAAAGTATGAGCTTACATGCAGTGGTTCTTTCGGCGAACAGCACTTCAAATGATTCAGACTCTGATGGCCAGGTAATGATACCTGGGTTTCAAGTAACTGGTTGTTTGTACATACTTTCTATAGTCTATGACGAGGAGAAGGTTATCCGAGTCGTCTAGCATTAACGGGGTGTCGCAACGTCCACGAAAACATCATGTGGTTTTAGCCAAGTAAGTTTATAAAAGTCGCCGTCAGATAGCCAAGCACAGGGCTAGGTACCTAGGTAACGAGCAGTCATGTGGTAAATGAGACAGTCAAATGGTCAACCTTGAAGTGTGAACAGAATGTTGACCATTTATTTGGCAAAAGCTTCAGATCCAAACATTGCCAATTGTCAAGTAATATGGAGCAACCTTTCCCCACGGCTATTCAAACGTTCACTGGTCAAATTCCTTGGTTCGAATCTCACGCTTGCTCGCAAGTTCTATTACCAGTGGGCATTTGCGATCAGCAGGACACAGAAGTGACAGCACTATCCTAGTAGTGGACCGGTCCAGTCAGATATTGGTCAGAATTGCACCTAATTCCTACAAAAACATGTCAGCGACGTCGTGGCTTTTGTAAGCATCAGAGTTCAAAATGCATCAGCTAAGCAGACAATCAAGGTGCCAGGACGTTTCCATACCGATTACCTGGCTGGTCTCTCACTTTCCTGCAAAATTGAAGTTAGTTGGATTGTCTGTATTCCCACCTCACTTGCCTACCATCAGCTGACTGCCTATCTTGTACTGCTTTGGTGCAATTCTCACAAACCTGCGTCATGAAGCCTTCGTTAGCATTCTTTTGGGTGAATCATCATGTTCTTCGAAGAGTATATGTATGAATCCGTTTATACCATTGGCTCTCACGCGCACACGATAAAAAGGCTCTAGAAATGGCGTGGATAACCAGTATCTCAAGTTCCCTCTCAAATCTAACATGGTTCTTCAATTACACGGTTTCCCCACCTCAACCTGCACTCTGCGTGTCGCAGTCGTTTGCAAGGAGAAGAATATTCCATTTGATTTCACCTTGGTCGATCTCCTCACGGGTGAACATAAGAAGTCTCCCTTTACCGACGTTCAACCGTTTGGGCAGGTTCCCTATATCGTTCGTACCAACCTTCTCTATGTTTAGGATATAGTTTACCTTTAAACACAGGACGATAACGGCTTCGTTTTGTACGAATCACGTGCCATCGGTCGTTATCTAGCAACAAAATATGCGTCTCAGGGTACACCTAATCTGGTCCCAGCTGATCCCAAGGCAAACGCACTTTTTGAACAAGCAGCGTCTATCGAAACGGCCAATTTCGATGTGTTCGCTTCCGGGCTGGCCTGGGAGCTGAGATTCACAAAGTCAGTGGCTATCATTTTCGTGAACGAATATCCATTCCCCTTACCTTACTGATGTAATGCTTTTAGAATGTACGGTGGCGAGACGGATGAAAAGCGCGTTGCAACCCTTATTGCCTCTCTGCAGGCCAAGTTGGACGCTTATGATGTGATCCTTGGACAACAGAAATATCTCGGTGGCAACGTCAGTACTTTTGAGTCATGTCATGCAAATTTGTTCAGACTAGTGAACTTTTGTCTGCAGGACGTAACTTTAGCTGATTTATTCCACCTTCCCTACGGTTCCGTCATCGTCAGCATCGGAGTCAATGAGTTTGATAAACGGCCAAACGTTGCTAGGTATGTCCTTCGCGTCGCATTAACATAACGTGCCATCATTTTCTGCGTTCTGCGTAAAGCTTCATCGTTTCACAATGTCGTTTTGCCAGATTTTGTGACTGACATCGGCTTTTATTCGTAGGTGGTGGAAAGATATATCTACCAGACCTTCGTGGTTGGCAGTCAAGAATGGTTTATGAGTCAACTCGTGCAATCGGCACGAAAGAAAGTGGAGAAGACTACTACAAGTGCCACATGTATCAATATAACACATAGAAAATTCCATAGTGATTGCAGGCATAGTGTACAGATTAAGAACTGTTGGGTTACAGCCTCAAGACAATACCGGTCCAAATCTCGTGGATAATATGTGTCTGACCAGCAGATAACAACGAGAAATGATGCTCGAAACAACTAGACGGTAATACCATTATATATCGTCGACTGTGCATTAAATAGGTTCGACCTTGTGTCTCACTCTCCTCCGAATACCATGTAAATTGGACGCCTCGAACCTATCTTTTGACAAACCTCACTGGTACATCTTTGACCCCCATCGTCAAAAGTAGAGTGGCTTGCATCACACGTTGGCGCCATTCCTGTAGATCATCAGATACAGTTAGTTAAATGGAATAATAAGCATAGCAGGAGGCCAATAAAGAGAAGCGAAAGCTCTGGGCGAGAAAGAGACTGGTTACTGGAATCAGTAAGAGACCTACCTCAGCTGTCTCTCCTTTCTCCAACAACGGCTCGACGCGCCAATCACGTAAAAGTAGTGTGAGCAAACACACAGCTTCTGTTGCGGCGAACTTGCGTCCTATACAAGCGCGTGGGCCTGACATATGCAATATTTCGATATAGATATTTGAAAGGCGAAGATCGGTGCATAGTAGAAATAGAACATGAATACAGGAAATTAATATGAGAAAGAGGGTCAACTGCAAGGTAACGTAATACGCACCAACGCTAAATGCTGTAAAGTCCTCAGAATCCTGCAGATCCGTTTTTTTGTCATCCCGATCTGCTGATGCAGTCTTTCTGTACCACCGTGAGGGGCGGTATACCTCTGGTTCCGAGAAATATCGTGGATTATATTCTGAAATCGGAAATCGTTTAGTAACAGTGCAAATGGGACCATGCAGGAAGTGTGTGCAATAAATTCACGAAATCAGTTCTGGCACACCCGAATAGAGTAAATAGACTGTACGCACGCACGCCAACCATGTCTACTATAAAGTGGGTGCCCTTGGCTACGGGCAAGACTACGTTCTCCTCACGACCACTTGGATCTGTTTTTGGGTAAGTGATCGTGGTATCTTCTTTGGCTTCACGGATGAGAAAGACTCCAGAGGCTATATAGCACACATGAAACAAAGAAGGGCAGCGTGAGTGAAAGACTCCACTTAAGATAGAAATTTGGAAATGGTACATACGAAACATCCTTACACCTTCATAAAAAGCAGCAAGAACTTTGTCGAGCTTTGGATAATCTTCAAAGGTCTACATACAACACGGACAAGAGGAAACAAGGTCAGAAAGGTCCAAAACAAAATCGTCAACAAGGAGCGAATCGCTGATACACGAGTCTCAGGAAGAAAAATGCTCACCGGGTCCCTGTCGCCTACTATCTCAACAATTTGTGCCACCACTTCATCTTGTACAGTTTGATCAATCGAGAGGAATCCTAAAGCTGCAGCGAGAGTATGGGCGGTAGTTTCTAATCGTTTCGCAGAGCAAATCAGGGGGTAAGATTTACATTAGCTAATGAGGATTTCGAGTTCCGTAACAGTAAGAAGACGCACCGTGTCCAGCGAACATCAGAGCAAACACATTGCCGATCTGTCCAAAATCAATTATTAGTCGATCCTCATTATCCACTATGAATACACTCACCAGATCATGGTCGTCCAGTGAGATCTTCCCGCCTTCTTCGCTCGCTCTTATGAGTAAGTTGAAGACATCCTTCCTCCATCCATCCGTTTCTTCATTTGCCAACCTCTCACGTACATCTTCCCTACGCAGTGCTACATGTTTTTGCATGAATGTACGCATACTATCATATGCCAAGCGCGTTCGTTGAATCCATGGTATAGGCAAAGACCACGTCCACTTCGGGACGGTGATAGCAAATAAGTTGGTTTGTGTAATCGTTTCGATAGCATCCTGTATATTCATGGACGTTTCCGACTCAGAATCAGAAGGTGGCGAAGACCATGAGAATGGGAGACCAAAGCCACATGAAGCAATGATAAGAAGTGTATATTTGAAAGTGTAACGTTGAATAGAGGGAAGATCAATCGTTTGCTTCGTATGCCAGCCTTCAGCTGAAATCATGTCATGATAGGTGCGTAAGGATTCTGACCACACAAGAGCGTAACTATTGTGGGGTGGGTGTAAGAGAGGGTTAAGTCAAGAATTCGGATTATGATTTTACGCATTTACTCACGTTTCGTTGTTGAATGCGGGGCTCATCACACGTCTGTGCTTTCTCCACGTGTCTCTCTCTGCAGCAACAATATTAGGGCCCCAGAACCTATCTCGAGCATCTGGTATCAGCACAACATGCAGGGCAATCAATGACTTGGTGCAGCACGTACAGAAATGCAGCGCCCATCGAGTCTGTTTTACCAAAAACACCTGTCTTGTGCCCTGCCGAGATCACTTGTCTCCCAATTTCCATGCTGTTGGTATAGATAGTAGGAGCACCATGCAAGAACGGTACAACCGAGAATATTTCGCCGTTAAATGGCTTATAAACTGAACAAAACAAATGGTATATGAAAGGGAGACAGACGACTGAGTGTAAGACTTACGATCCTTTCTCCAGTCCCAAGTAAACAGCAGACCTGGATTCCATCTCTTTGAGGATGGAAAGACTACACCGGGAATACAAAGCGGTTGGAAAGGTACCCGCAAACCAGGGAGATAGCCCACGTCCTGCAACCACCTCGTCAGTGACTGTTTCTTTCTCAATAGCCATAACTTGAACGATAGACGCACCTTCAGTCCATTAATTAACTTTACGACCCGTGAGATGACCCAAACACTGAGTACAGCGAGCGATGCGTTTGTTATGCTTACTGCCTCTACATGTGTTATCGGAATTAAACGAGGATTGGCTATTGAAAGGATGAATCGTACCCATTTATGTTTCCAAGCTCTAAGGCGCATCTTAACGATCCCAAGATACCTCCAGCATTTATACATGTTGTTTTTGACGGGTCACACGATTTGTCGCCGAGTAGTCGTTGCAATTGCATCCATCTAAGCCTCCGTCGGCAACCCCGACGGCATCCTTCACTCCGATTTGCGCTGCCGCTAATGGCACTTCGACTAGTTACTACTGTCTATTATTCACTAGTCTTCCGTAGTAATCCAACATTGCACTCAACCTCGTTCACTGTTCGGACTGCTACCTAGTGACGGAGTCTAACTTGTCTATTCAGTGATATCAATCGAAACGGTAGACCCACTAAAGTACATACACAGCTTGCTTTATCTTAGTATAACGTCCATGTCCGTGGCATGCGAAGAAAAATCAATAAAGATTGAGTAAATGGTAAAAATGACTGATGTCAGCGTATCGCGTAAGTATAGGACCCAGGAATCGCAAAATTCGAGAATAAAAGTCGTAAATGCGTAAAACAAGGTGAAAAAGAAGAACACGCTAGTTATGTGCGAGTAGATCACGTCGACAACACAATAAATCCGCCTTGACTTGACCTACTTTATCGTCTTGTACCACCATCTGGATTTGCAACAAACAGCGGCGCCCGAGGAACAACGCCGTAGGACACCGTCACTCGATTCCGACTCGGGACTTCCTCTCTCTTTCGTGTGTTACGCGGTCCCTTTATTGAATCTTGCTCCAAATCCTGCGACATCCGCCGCTCGTAAGCATGTATACGGGAAGCGACCGCTCCTGGGCTGGCTGGTGTCGGTGGAGTGCGAGGTCGTCGAGGGGAAGTGGGACTCGTGTATATAGAAGAGGGCGATGGTTCTGAGCTGTAGATGCGTGAAGGGATGGCTTTCGGCGGTGTGTCGTCTGTGGATGATGGACTTGGATGTTTGGTTGGAGGCGTAGAAATGCGATGTGGAACTGAGATAGATGTATTGCTATCTGGTGGCGTTGGTAATGGAGGGACAGGCGATGTAATGCCGTGCTCATCAACCGTTGCCGTCACATCAACAGTCTCACCGCCTTCGGTCGTTGCAGTCCACCTGGACCCTGCCGAACCCTCCCTTCGGACAACATCATAACGTCCACCGAGCCTCTCGATTCCTGCTGTATCAGCAGTCTCAGTCGTCCCGGCCGTGTGAGAACTGTGTACGGATGACGACATATAATGGCCATGGCCTTGGGCTTTATTATCCTTAACTTCTGGTGAGGACTGGTCCTTGGTAACACCATCATGAACTAATCCTAGTCCTGGCGCGGGCGTTGGATCGCGAAATTCTGAGGGCATTGAAGTGGGAAAGGTCGAAGACGAAACTCTCTTCCCTCCTAACCCTACACCTCCTCCACTCCATAATCCACTCCCACCACCAGACGAACGACGGTCAATAAGAGATGTCTTAGCAAACCGTCCCCACCAAGTGTCTGAACGACGAATTGGCTGACTAATTGGAGGTAGGGAGTCCAGGATCGATGAGTGGCGCTGAGTCTGAGGAGGAGAGTGTTGCTGTGGAGCTAGTACAGCAGAAGGCATATGAGGAGAATATGAAATTCGTGTAGTCGTAGGTGAGTAGGATGTGTACGAGTTTGAGTACGCAGTTGTCGTTGGAAGTGATGTCAACGAGGGACCGCTGGTTGAAGGACCAGCATGGTCTAGTGAGGATGAAGATGAAGATGCGTGATTCTGGGACGACGCTGAACTCTCAGCCTCCACGAGAGGGCTTAGAATACGCGAAGGCAAGGAGAGTGGAAGAAGAGGAAGAGCATCTGCGTCCCCGTCTAGGCCTATATCCTTCGTCCCATAGAGTTCGGCAAAATGGTTTTTAGGTGTCTCCAGCTCACCTTCATCGTCACTTTCACCGAAAGGATTAGAGCGCAAAGTGTTGAATCCCCACCGATCGGAAAAGGGATCCACGTACGACCATGTGTTACTGTCCACTGTCTGCGTTCGGGAGTGCATCAAGCCAGTCCTTTCCTCGTGGTCTTGACCATCTGTTTCAACTGCCCCTCCTCCACCATCACGGTAAGTAACAGTATTGTCGTCACCGGCGCGTGCCCCACGTTTGGACACTTTCTCCCACTCGTCCCACGCTTCAAAATCATCCCCTTCTCCTGGTCTATTCCTCGTACGAGTCGTACTCCCGCTTGCCTCGCGTGATACTTGACTTCCACTTGGCTCGCGTGACATCATCCCACGTACACGAGCACCCATAGAGCGGAAAGACCAAGCACTTAGTGATCCTCCGCTAGGATCCCGCCATACCCCACCACCACCACTACCCCCATTTGCCTCCCTCCATAGCTCACTCCACGTATCCTCGTCCGCTAACATATCCCTTCTCTCCCTCCTCCCTCCTTCTGGTGTTAGGTTATTCGGAGAAAAAGGCAGAGCGGCAAAGAATCGACCTCCGCCTCGATCCTTCGTGAAGCCTAACATACGGTTGAGCATCCCCTGATTACCACTAGCGCGTTCATCGTGTAAGATATGCGCGCCTGCGTCCGTATCCGTCTCTTCTAGATCACCACCGAGTAAGAAAAACTGGCCTCCGGGGCCGCCTTGGGGACGCTGAGAGCTTGTGTTTGGGTGCTTTGGTAGATAGAAATGAGATTTAAAAATTAGAAATAAATTAGAAGAAAGAACTAAGAGGGAGGGAAACCACCAAGGACAACAGGAAATATAATATCAAAGAATAGAGGAGGAGGAATTGAGTATACACAAAGACTTACCGAATGTCTCCTCCGCACGTAGTATGTTGTCGCAAGGGCGCCTACAACGAGGCCTAGAGCAGCGAATGTAGCACCGAGAGTGACTGCCGTGTTGGTTTTGCTATGTGAATCGCCTCCACTGCTTCCACTGCCGTCTCCCCCACTTCCGCCGCCCCCTGCACTATTGCCTCCACCGCCGCTTCCAGTATTGTCTCCACCACCATTCCCGCTACCAGATCCTGGTGTGTTGGTTGGACCAGGAATTGTAGCAGTTGTACCTGAAGGCGGACTAGCTGGAGGGGTGTATAATGGAGTGAACAATGAGCTTGATAGGTCGTAGACCTGGAGGGTAGAAGAAGCGGGAGCGGTAGACGTGTAACCTACGAGCAACGGGTAAGTTATATAGTATTTTAGAGGGTAATAAGACGATAGCAGCGAGTGTATAAAAGAGAAAGGGCGTGGACAAAATTGGTACGGGACGCATATATGCTGTGTTGATGAGCATGTCTTTTTGAACCCAAAGCGAGTATATGCAGTTACAAAGTACATAAAAGAAGCCAGAGGGACAAGGACATCGGGCGATCGAACTCACCAAAACCAAAAATGACCATTCCACCCCATGCCACAGCAAAATGATCTCTTCTCTCTCCTAGCTGGCTGAGTACCGCGACTGACTGCCAAACCATTGGATTCTGTGTGGTATCAAGGATCCATCCGTCACTGTACGTATTCTGGAGTTCTGCGTCTGCGCCGCCATGTATCAAGATCTTTGCATCCGCCAAAACGACTGCGGCGAATGCACGGCGGGACGTAGGGAGGGTATTATTACTAACGGGGAGGACAGACCACGATTGTGAAGATGGAGATGCAGAAATGTCAAGTGTCCATATCGTTGTGAATGGTATAAGAGTATTAAGAGAAGGAGAAAAGCCACCAAAAATAATCAGCTGGTTATTCAGGATAAGGGATGTATGTCCTGTGATATCTGGAGGAGAGTTCGTGGCCGGCAATAGTGCAAAAGAGGGATTATTAGGTGTGAACAAGTAATCATCACCAAATGCAGTATTAGACCCGTCTGCTTTCTGACCGCCAGTGAGGTAGAGCAAACCTGCTGAAGATGAGACGGAATGATGCATTCTGCGCATCGGCTGGGAAGCCCAATCCTGTGGTTCTAGGAGAAAAGATGGTGATATAGAGGTGGTGATGATGATTGAGGAGTCGTTGAGGTCGGTGAGGACGGTTGGTGAATTTGGACCTGGAAGGCCACCAAAGAGAAGGAAAGCAGAGGTGTTGAAGGCGGAGAGCGTGTGCCATACAAGTGCAGGTGAGTTAGTAGCATTCAGAAGCTTCCAGGGTGGCAGAGAGGTATTGAATGAGGATGTGAGCGGAAGGGCTAGCAGTTCGTTAGTTGGTGGGGCAGAAGTATAAGAGTATTGGTTGTATGGGTCCGTCATTCCACCGTGGATATAGAGCACATCTTCGAGAAGAGCGCTTGCCTGTCCCCATCTGACGCGATGTTAACAAGTAATTAACATATGCTGGATAGCCCTGGACAAACGAACCTTGGTATTGGAGAGTACTGTGCTGCGGTAAGTGAAACAAAACTTAGTCGCAGCATCCACTTCATCGCGAGCAAGAGTAACTTGGAAAGGAGCTTTCTGTGATGAAGGATGTAATGATTACATACAAGAACGTTATGGTTGTCGTGAAAGCGTCGTGGGTCGTGAATTTCTCGCTGTAAGGTTGCTCCAAGTGCTGCTTGCAGTCGAGCGCTGCGTTCGCCCAAGTTGGCTATCTGTACCTTGAAACTCACGTAAGCGGAAATGCGCACATGCGTTTTCCTTCACCCCGACTTCATCCCGACTCCAATGTCAACATAGAGGCATTTTTGTAAGGCTAAACCTCGAAATCAAACCCATCATTTTGGCTCGAGCTGATATTTACCACTTTCTTACCGTGCAGGCCTGAATCATACCTAGGAATGCTGTCAGAATGCACTTGGGGACTTGCTGACCCAGAATCTCGCGTTTTAGCCTTCGTCAATGGCCTATTCTTATCTCAACCTGTTCAAAATTTATTTTCTCATCGTGTGCAGGGCGGCTAAAGTATGTATTTCATCACCCTGCATGTTTAGTGCTTGTTTACAAGTGATGGTTGAATTGTTGTCCACTTACCACAGTAACATGGCTTCTGTTGATCTCATGGGAATACTCCTCCTCTACACAGGACATCACCGGTGCATCACCGATTGTTCGCCAAATGCCCTTTGCTGAATCCGAGATGCCCTGCTCCAAGATCACGGGTGTCGTTCGCCATCCTATCAACGAGACAGCATGATTGGAACACCCCCTAAATAGAATTGATAAGTATATTTCAAATGCACCTTATAGTGCTGATGCAGAAGAAACCACTATTTTACATTTGCCCACAGATACACATGCAAGCCACGTACCACGACACCCACTCTGATTCACACTGTTGGCATCATCACGACTTGAACAAACTGCAGTCTTTCTGCTCGGACATGGACCGCATTCGAAACGACTCGGTCCTGGGTCCCGAATTAGACCACAAATTATCACTAGCAACGCTGGGTATTGCAATGAGCCTCGCTCGGCCCATGACGGTGATGAAACAAATGTGCTGTTATTCCATCTGGAAAACTCCTCGGACTCCGGACATATTTCATGCCATATTTCCTCCCAAAGCTCTCTGAGTTAGATTGGCTAGTTGAATTAGCAATGGACGCCACATATGAGCCAAGTTCGCGACCGAGAAACGGGATAAATCTAAATGAGAAGGTATTCAAATCCAGTTTGCGTTAGAGGACATAGTCATCAGGGAAGACCTCAAACAGAAGGCTTCCAAGGGACGAAGATATACGTTCTTCGCTACTCTTGAATCTTCAGGATCCTTACACGAGTCAGTCAGATATCAATAAAGCTAATGAAATCGTATTTCTATGAAAATAATGATCTCGATGACCTAATGTTTAAAGATTGTAACATTGTCCTTGGGAAAACTGTGAGTCCTAGATACATGATAGTTCTCGGGATAAGACTAGCAACAGGCTCGTAAGTCCGCACAGCAGAACGGAAATGTCTTCTTGTTACGTAGACCAGAGACCCCAACACATTCTGTACGGGAAGCCGTCAACAGTCAATGCTTCGGCACGGATCTACTCTTCATGCACGAAGAAAGACAGTTAGCATTGTCGAAGCGACGAGAACTGCCCATAAGAGAGCTATTCTTGCGGATGACGGCAAGGATGCGGTATTCACTGGGACAAAGCCAGCCATACCACCAGTGGTTCCAGCCGCCATTGTCATCGTGGTAGTAGACTTTGACGTCACTCTATGTTATTTTAAAAATACAACTCAGATCAGTTTGAAGTATTGAGCTTGGTAACTCACGTCGTAGTGCTTGGTTTATCCGAAATTGTCGTTGTAAGAGTCTCTAAGGATACCATCACGACAGTGACAGTCGATGGTGCAGCGGTGCCCACCGTCACCGTGATGGGCGGGGGCTCTCCGGGAGACACTATCGTGAAAGTCGTCGCTCCAGATAACACAGTCTCAAATCCGGATTGCGTCGCTAAATAACTTGACGAGGATGTATACAGAGCCGCTAGCCAAGGGCTCTGTGAAGGCGGAGAAGATGCCTGTGGGGTGGTTATGAGCTGATTGTCGGAGGTGCACTGACTAGAAGATGAACTGGTAATGTCGATTGGAAGAGGTGTAATTGAGTAGTAGGATTGACCCTTTATAATCGAATTCTCATAGAATGTCAGCTGCACAAAACAATGAGCTAGGACGATAACCAATGATAGAAGTGTGCCCTCACATTGTATGATCCAGCAGGAAGACATGACGGAACCGTCCAGTTTACATGTTTAACGGTGCTTCCAGCTTCCTGGGTCAAAATACTAGGACTGTCGGATACTGTCATGTTGATTTGATTTGCATACGAGATGAGGTAGATTTGTAGCTCTTGGAGTTGCATTGCAGAGGTGAGGTTACCATCACCATCTACCTAATTAGAGTAAGATGCTAGGATGGGTTATACGCAAGCACAGAACTCACTTCTATAGCAATCTGAGAGCTACTTCCTGCTTGTATTTGACTAGGAGATGTTACTACTTAAGCCACAAGCGCTATCAGAGGATGAAGGAAATACCTATTGGGAGCGGGCGAATCGATGATAGCAAGGGCTTTGGTGATGAATTGACCATTGATGTAAACTTGAGCGAAAGCAGGTTGGACAAGGAACGAAATGCAGACTAGAGAGATGATATACAGCTGTAAAATGAATGAATTCCGGCGCGAGAACGAGCGACTCGTCCGTCGTAGGTGAGCCAGCACCATGGATGGCATGTATTGGTGGTATTTACAACCTCGTCGGTGAACACACTCCAGCCAAAGTGACTGAGTACTGTTCTCGGCCAGGTACTGCGCAAAACGTTGCAAATCCTGGTATGGTACTGTGAACGTTTTTGACTGCCAGCTAACGTTGGTCACACACCTAAAAAAATCCGGTTACACTCCTGTAGCGCAGGTAACTGAGGGGCTTTCGCTCATCACTACAGCTGTATTGTCGAAGAAAGGGTAGAAGCCAAAATTACCCGGAATTTTATACGTAGGCAATCGATCTTGGGAAAATGAAAGACATACTTTACCACCACGCCCAGCTGAGCCTCATCTGGTCGGAAAGCCACACGGTTGTCTATCATAGTATGGCAACCGAAAACTTGAACATATCAAAAGATTCTACACCAGCAGCTACGTCGACGACGACTGCGACGGCAACTGTTGAAAGGAAACCTCTTTATGAAGCAAGTACACAGTACAGAAACTGGAGATACTCACCCGCAAAATTGGCCAATGTCCGAGCATCGCTCAACACTGCGGCTGTCACCGCCATCCGGACAAAGTTTGAAGTAGATGAAGTGTGTATCCTATTCTTTTAATATTGTCGCACAAAATTAACGGACGGCTCTTCAGCCAGGATCATCATCAACAGTATCGTTCTTAGATGCTGATGAAGAGCAGCTGCTCGTGAAACTATATATCAGTAAAATACCACAGTTATGTGGCCACTTCCGTTTCCCAGAAGAAGTCGAAGCTACAGCCATAAGCTATCTAAAACGCTTTTATCTCAAAAATACTGTGATGGACTGGCACCCAAAAAATGTCATGTATGTATCTGTGTTCACACTGAGCACTCCTTTCTCACCAACCGATCTCTCAGGTTGACTGCTCTCTTTCTCGCTTCCAAGACAACAAATAATCCCATAACGCTGGAGTCCTATACTACTCACATTCCCAGGACTTCACCGTCAGATGTGCTGGACCTTGAGTTTCTCGTCGCGCAGAGCCTGGGTTTCGAGTTTGCAATATGGCACGCACACCGTGCACTATGGGGCATCTGGCTAGACCTGCAGGTTTGTCACAGTCTCCATTTCTATCGAGACAGCTAATTACACATTTCAATTCTGGAACAGAGTCTACTAGACGCTCCCGCTGACCGTCCAGAAGAGATCTACAATACCGCTTTAGGTCGTGTGCGGTCTTCTCGATTGACGGATGTAGAGCTTATCTACACCCCACCTCAAATTGCGCTAGCATGTCTATCTCTCGCATCCCCTGACCTAGCATTGCAGTGGGCTAATTCCAAGTTTGCTTCTCCTACTTCGTCACCGACGTCGACACCGTCCCCGACATCCAGTGCATTACAGACTATTGTAGAAGCCATCAAACTCGTTATTACGCAGTTCGGGAAACCGCCAGACATCGAATCTGTTCGAGAGGTCGACCGTCGTCTTAGACTGTGCAAGAACCCAGAGAAAGTTATTGGAAGCAAGGCATATGTAGCAAGGAAGACAGAAGAAGAACGTCGCGCAGAAGAAAAGCGCAATCGAAAAGCACAAGTAGCTCGCCGCGCTATGGACGAAAGCGACCCGTTCGGGACTGGAATCAGCGGTCGCGAGAAGGGGGAGAAACTGGAAACCATAGATGATGATGATGACGACGACGAATAACGTGCTAGCATCTGTCCATAGCTTCGGTTGTCCTTGACTTCGATCGCTAAGATAACCCTCGCATACTTAGTTCGCCATGGATTTTATTGTATTACCACCATTCTGTACTCCTATGACAGCTTAAGCATATACATTTCCACCGAGACATAGAAGCATGCGAAAATTTGCTGTAGGAATATAATCTGGCGACATCGGCTGCATATTGACCTCCTTTAGTTCCTAGTCTGTGCTTGCCGCATTGCTAACCGCCTTCTGGGCAGTGGTCATCGAGATGTGGGATGTGTGAGACGACTTCGCGAGATGGTGAGAGATGCAGTAAATTATACTACCGTGAAAGTAGTAATATATTTTGAGACGCCAGTTCAGAAACCTAGGAAGCGATGTATTCAGTAACAGCCGTATAAAAAAAACCTTATCTGTTATGTGACGCACAGCATTCACAGTCGAAAGGACATAGTGGCGTATCTGAAGGACAATTGAACAATTTGAAGCTAGAAAGGAGGTGAACACCTTACCTCCCCCTTCATGGCTTATGCCGAGCTCATCTTCTTTGTATATACCGAAACCTTCTTCCGTTTTTCGTCCTGAAATTGATATTTTAGCGCACGAATCACGACAAGAGTAGTCTGCGTACTTGGACCGTTTCCTCTGGAGTCCTTGAACCGATCTTCATCTTCCTTATCCTTATCCTTTTTCGACGTCTTCGTGCTTTTCACCTTCAAGGCATCCTTCCCACTTGATTTCGTGCGCTTGGCCTTGGGTTCTTGTATAGATGGATCGAAGACTGTTTCAGGTGGTGGTCTCTTCGTCCCTTGCTTCGGTTCATCCGCCAACTTCACCTCATCTTTGGGATCGCGAAGATCAGCACTCTTGGCTTTTTTGCTCTTTTTCTTCTTCTTTTTTTCTGGCAATGTCGTTGACGAGGAGGTGACGGATACGACAAATTTGCCTTTATTAGCGGAGGAAAAGATAGCGTCTATCTCTGAGGCAGGCATATGAGGACTGAATAGTACTGAATATTAGTGCAACACGGTGACTGCATCCACAAAATTACTGCGTGTGCCGATGGATGGAGGATGTCTTTGCCGCGGAGCTGAGTTCGAACCACGCCGCTGATATGCGCTGACTCTCTTGCTCAAAATCTTGTTTTTAATATTCTAATTTTTTACTGGAGATTCGAGCTTAAGCTCCTGACGCTCAGCTGCCCAACCGATGATTGTCGTTTACCTCGCTAAAATCGTCTGGCTGTGACAGTTGGACTGTGAAATCCGTAAACGCTTGCAGTATCTGATGGCGGCGCAAACGGTACAACAAATATAAGAACTCCAATTGAATGATCCCATAGCTCCCAGTAAGGCTAGATAATCGTACTCTGGGCCGTAGTGCGCAGGCAATACTACGCCGACTCGAAATAGCCAATACAGACAGGGGGGTACATCGACCCTGTGGATTGATCAATCCACCGTAGCAAATTGGCAGGTATTGACCAACGGATGACTAGGGCGTTGGATGCCGTCGCAATGCAAGCGAAATTCTGGCGGTCAGGCCTCCCGACACCCTAGCTGCCCAGCAACTCCCGGCTACCCCATGGAAGTGGCTGTACCATTCCCCAACGATGACTGATACTTGGTGGTGGCAGTCCGTTGTCAATGTCCATCATAATGTGAAAAGACACCGGCCAGGGAAGGTACCGAACAGCTGTGTCGCCATTGCGAACGATATTTCATGAAGGTAGCTTGTTTTTACGGTCCAGATTAGAGCCCTGCGATGGTGTAACTGCGACGTGGTGCATGGAGCCTGGTCGAAGAAATATGTGAAGCGATTTGAATGTAATTATGAAACTAACACATTGAGCCTAGCCTCTTGGTGTGATCAGTGTAAGAGGCAGATTCACTTGGGGGCTTCCGTAAGTGAATTTACTGCCCCAGTGGGTAACAACATAACTATACGCTGCAGGTCGCCGCGAGGACATCGATCAGCAGACTCCTAACCCCTGGCATAAATTGCATATGCGTTGACAATGGCAGGACGCCACTAGGCCCCAAACATGCAGCGTGTTTCCTGTGCGTCAATAGGGAAAAGACCCATCCATAACCCGATAGCATACGCAGAAAATGTTTGTGCAATATCTGCTAATGTACGAAACACTCGTAAACCTGGAACTGAGCCGATTTATGAAGTCTGGACTTGCCTTCTGATAGCGATAGTGATGGAGTTCAACATATTTGATATGAGTGTTGACATTGAGCCCCAAAACTGACTGGTAGAGAGCGTGTTACCAGTCAGGTGTTGACCTTGCAAGGGACAGAGAGGACTGTCCGTGGAACAAAGAAAACAGCAGGGGATATTTCTCGGTAACTTGATGCTCGAGTATATTCTGCGGGTAGTACAATGTTCCAAGTGCATATTTTCTCAACGATAGACATGGATGCTTTACTGTAGCACGCAAGACCTGCACGTAGACTGACATGTGCCGATGATGCGGGAAAGATCAGAATACTACTCACTAGAAAATGTATACATTGCATCACATCTTGTCGCTGCCACTAACAAGGCCATATTTAGGATGTGCAAAGTAGCCCTTGCCCACGACTGTCAAAACGGAACTAGCTTACCACAACTCAGACATATGGCAATTTTTCATGCCGACATCCTTATCTCCGGATCGGGGTCAGAAACGCGTTGCTGGACAGAAAGGTATTAGCGACATTCAAATATACCGAACGAAGTCGAAGGATTTCTGTCTGTTCGTGATATGCATAGAAAGGGATAATGAATGTGGGATGAACTACGCACGCTTCGATCGAAAGAGCCGCCCTGATGTCGTAAAAAGATACGAGGAGCGCGTGTCCAATTCGATAGCTTTGAATAGCGCCTTGTTTAGAAACTTGGAACAAATGGTGCCCCTGAATCAACGAACGATGAGTTCCCGGGTGAGAAATAAAACCAAAACTTGCCGTTGACATGAGGAGGGACAGATCGAGGTTTTCCTTGCCGCTACTCATATTTATCAGAATATGCTCGGTAATGTGAGGCGCTAACACTCGAAGTCGATGTATGATGTTAAGTAACGTTCTTTCTTGACTGTTATGTTGTGTGTGCGGTTGTATGTTCATTCCTTACAAAAGATGAATTAAGGTCATATTGCTGCTATCAGTGGAGTATCACCGTGTGGCCTGATATAAATGGAACGTAGGCCAAGCAAAGAACCTAAAAGTCAAGGTTTAGCACGGCATATGATGATCACCTACAGCAGTCAGCTGGTACCATATGGGCATATAGAGTACAGGGTCGATTCCTATTAAAAAAAAGGGGGAACGAAACGTTCCACGTTCCATTAGTGAATGTCGAATATATTAGAACATCACTGTTCACGTCAGTGCTCGACCAGTAATACGGGCGACGGTGAGCATCCGCATACATAGTATTCGCTCGACTTCGACGTCAAAGTGGAGCCGACCAAGTCAGATGACTGGCACGTCTAGTGCTGCTTCTTTCAGATGTTCGTTTATGCGCTCGGGCCTACGGCCCATAATGAAGAACCTGAACCGGATGTAGAGTAAGAATATACCTCCCTGTGATTCATACTGCCATGGATCTAGACCATTGTGTCTTGGTTTTAGCATCCCCATAGATGCCGAAACATGTTTGGTGCATGATTGGGAGGATAGTGTTCCGTAAAAAGCAGAAACGTATGGCAGTATTGACCAAGAAGTATACCCGGTGGGTAGATTGAGCAACACGTGTAGGCCAAATACAAATGGCTGGAAAGCTACCGAGTTCCGGTGGTTGGTTACAGCTCAGGCCTCATTAAAAAAACGCAGCTCGCCGTCGTTGCAGTATTGTCTCTCGACCACGAGCGTCAACCAGCGACGACTTCGCTGAGCTCAAAAATGGTATATTATACTCTCCGCACACTGAAGATCAGACCCCGACGAGAAGGCACGGAGCAGCTACGCATCCGACTTGGCCCCGTCGACGACAACGGCAAGCTGTGCAATGCCATCTGATAGATGGTTTTTTGGAGGCTGAGTGCCTCACACCCATTGGATTGGGGTAAAATGATTACGATACTCCTTTTCCCAGGTGTTCTTTCTTGCTTATCTGGCCATATCCCATATATTAAGAATACGAATCGCTGCACGGGACCGATTCCCGAGTCATGCGCGACCGCCGGGATGCTAAGGAAACAAACTCGACCCCACAGACCTTCTGCAGGTCTGTCTGCTGCTTTTCTTAGGCTTAGGGGAATAACGGCGATGTTGAGCCAGGGAATATCAACACAGCAATCCGGTAACTTTGCATGCACTTGTGGACGTACTTACGCACTACTCATTACTCGCCCAGATAGCCAAGAATGCCACCCAGTCACGTCAGCGATAGCGCACGATAGCACTTACGGCGGTCAAACGGCGTTCGCCTCTTTCAATTCTATTCTACTGGTTCAGCATCGGCCGTGCTGACCAAGGCTGCGCTACACGTTGCAAGATTCTATTCCACTTGTTGACTTAGTTGGAATGACCCAACTTCTCCTTTCTTATTCTTCATCACCACTTCTCCCCCATTTTGGTATTGTCTGTCAGTGCCAATGGCGCCCGTCCCGGCCACTCCGTATTGCAGAGCCGCAGTGGTCGGCACTAACGTTCGTTCTGGAATAGTTTTGATGTGGTCCTCGAACACCCCTTCTCCAAGTATACGGCCCCTATTTTTATACTGTGATACGCACAGTGTTCGAGGTGCTGCACCAACACGAGGCGCCAACAATATGGTACAGGCGCCACTCTGCAGCCGCTCGTGGTGAGCGTCTAGCCTCGTTTTATCCTGTCCGTCAGGCAGAGCCACAGGTATGTCATAATCGATCATATCTGTTACCCAATGGAAGTCCAGAAACTATAACATCACAAGAAATTTTCCAGATCGTAACACACGGTTTTGGTCGAGGATCTGAACACAGGATTGTTTCTCCGTCGTCATCGCGAGGTATATATTACATGCTTTGTCATACACCGTTACCAGCTACAGGGTCTCAAGCTAAGCTTCGAGCTCTGCAATAAATGCCTTGTTCTCTTCGTTATCAGGGTATTTCTTGAGAATCTAGAAAAAGGCATGTAAGATGAGCCACTCGGGGTTAGGATAGTGCCTGATTTATAAACTTACCTCCACGAGTTTGGCAACATACTTAGCCTCGGCATCCTCTTTGGTTGTGCCCTTTACAGTGTTCCACGCATCCCTATCAAATGTCTTAGATCTCGTTCTTTGCACGTATACGATAAGCTTACCACTTAGCTTTGCCAACGAAATCCAACAACCCAGGCCTAGCGGTGTTCACGTCTCCGATAGTAGCTATTACGGCACATATCATTCATTACCTATGATATGAAACGGATAGCATCCTGTACCGACCTTGTTTGTAGTACTTGTAAAACTGTGGTGTTAAGAGGTGATGATTAGAATCTATCAGCAAATCAATGTTTTTTCTCCATGGCGATACTCACATCAAGTTGATCATCTTGAGACACTTTGACGGGACCATCCTTCGGGAGACCCTGAACATACTTGACAGCTTTCTCGAACTTGGATTCAGACATGATGGATGTATCAGATATAAGTTAACGGTAAAGAAATCGATCTGTTTTCAGATAAGATAATAATCGCAAATTTATCATTTCCTTATTTGGATACAGAGGTGCCACTTACAGTCAATCACGGTATTAGTGAGGCGATCCTCTTTCCTCATCCATGTCGGATCTTTGAGTCATTGTACTCTAGTTATAAGGACCGTGTAAGGCTGGCTATAGTCATGTAATACTAGCACCAATGCATATGGTGCACCTTACAGCTTAACGTTTAACAAGAAGCTTGGACCCCATTCGTCGAACAACCCATGCTACCCAGCATCATGCCACTGATCCAAGGCACGCGTTCACGTTCACGAACAAAAGTCCCTGATTCGCGATAGCACACAAAGGTAGTTCAATGACCGCAATCACATTTGACGAAGAACAATGGCGAATGGAATATGGAAGTAGCTGTGGAGATTCTAGAGCCGAATAGTAGTACTTGTCTCAATCTAAACGAAATCGGACCATGCCATCGAGCCACACGACACCCAAGGCACTTTTAGAATCCCGAGCTGTGTATGCGACGCTCACTCCTGGATGCGATCCCCGTCACGAGATAGAAGTGCAATACCACTAGTTATGAACTCTAGGACCAAGCCACTCTTGTTAATCATCGAGCGGCCATGTCACACCGTGTGACAATCATGTGACCTAGAAAAGTAACTCCGCCAGCTCTAACCGCGTACGCCTCTCCTCGCTGTCCTCAAGCCAACGACGCATACAACAACTATACGTTCCTCAGAGCACTGGCCGAAACCATGTCAAAGCCGGCGCCTGAACCATCTGCACAGGAAATCCAAAGAAAGTTATCAGTTCATTCTGTGGCAAAGCCAAGAAAGGTACGTACATCACATTTCGTGTCTAACCTGTCAGATTGTCGCACTGTTTTGTAATTCTGATATGCTACATACAAAGATCCCCGCGTTGGCACAAACACACGTCTCGGGAACGGAATCTGACTCCGACTCTGCGCTATCTCCAGACTTGCTGTCTACGCAATCATTAAGCTCTAGCGGGGTGTTGCTTGGTGGAAGCTCATCACAACCACCGCTCTCTTCGATCGCTGAGCGGCGATCAGGGAGTGGTGAAGAGTCGGACGAGGACGACGAGGACGACGAAGAAGGCTGGAAGGGGGGTGAGAAACATGGAAAGACGCGAGTTTCGGCAGATGAAAGTGTCATCAAGGCAGGGTATCTATGGAAGAAGGGTGAACGGCGTAAGGTTCGTACCCCCGTGAAGAATCTTTTTCTTGCATTGGGTACGGACGAAACTATCCACAGACTTGGAAAAAGAGATGGTTTGTCCTGCGTCCTGCGCATCTGGCATACTACAAGACTTCAGCCGAGTATAAGCTACTCCACCTTCTCGACCTCTCCGACATACACTCATGCACGCCCGTCGCACTCAAGAAACACACCAACACTTTCGGGCTTGTCTCTGCGGTGAGGACATTTTATCTTCAGGCTGTAAGTGCAGAGGAAGTGCAGCAGTGGGTTCAAGCCATCCAAGAAGCTCGCGAGTCCCTCATGGCTACATCGACGCAAAACTCTTATGCTACAGCACCCATACCAATACCCGGGACACAGGGCAGCTCACATCCACCTCCCGTGACGCCATCGCCTCCTTCTCACGTCTCTCAAAATATCACTTCCTCGGACTCGGAAGATGCCTCTCCTAGCGCGGTACGGACTTATTCTAGTTCTTCGCAGACTCGACCTGTCATCGCCTCCTCGCCTTCGCGTCCTCAAGGACTGCCGAAGGACGTTACAAAGATAGTGCTTTCCGGTTACTTGATGAAGTGCGGCTCGAAGCGTCATAATTGGCGCAAGCGGTGGTTCGTACTGAATGGTGAAAAGCTGGTTTACTCTGGAAGCCATATGGTAAATGTCATCCCATGATCTTAATGAGAGTACATAGCAATCTAATAGGATGCGTGCTCATTCACAGGACACGAAGCCACACCGGCAGTTCTCATTTTCAGAGATTCTTGACGCCCTCGAATTCGACATAAAAGCAAACAGGCACGGTGTTAGTGCACCGCCCACGGCAACTTCCTCGATACCCTCTTCGTCTCCCGAGGTCTCTAGTTCTGGTCATGGACCCCACACGTTCAAAATTGTAACGACTAAGCGAACACTTTTACTCTGTGCACCTAGCGAAGAGGAGGAAATTAAATGGTTAAGCGCCATACGGGCGCTGATTGCTCGACGAACAGGAGCTGGGGTTGTCCCTGGGGAGTCGAGCAGCAACGCCTCGAGGGCGATGTCAGGAAGCATTGACGCTGGTCAGGGTAGTGGTGGTGGGGTAGGATCTGCAGGGAGTGGTGGATTGCGAAATAAGGTTAGGAAGTTGAGTGTCAGCGGGACGAGCACGGCAGTGCCCATACCGGAGGGAAGTCTGGAGAGATGATTGATCTAGAGATAAACGGCATCCAAACAGGTCTCCAGATTCATTGTAATTGTACCAGCACTCTCACGTTACTACCCTGGTTCTGTTTCCGGTGCTGTGTAACATCATTTCACCCATCAGCTATCAGCTTAGTGTGGCTGTTCACTTCGATTCATATCTAGTGTGGATTGTATCGTTCCATGAAACGCTTCTATTGTGTCGTTGTGTCTAATCTGCGAAGAAGAAAAAGCGGGGATGTTCTTCTGGGTGAACAGATTATGTGATAAAGAAGAGATAAGTGTTACAGCAATCCAAGTGGTCGGACACGGGCATGGAAGGAGCTTAGTAAGTGAGTGGCGCTAAACCGACAAGGCCGGAGGACCAGTAGTAAGGTTTAATTGAGTGTGCGGGGGATTAGCCCGGCGTTTAGACTAGATACCAGGGACTGAAGAGGACATCTTCTAGGAGCATTCGCCGTTATTTTCTCCGACTTCCCAGCTAGGCTCCGACCTCAGCGGTTTTTGCGAAGCCAAGAAGAGAGGATGCACTGGCGTCTAACCAAGAGGTTGGATAGAGGACAGACACCTGACCAGAACGTGACTGGATGACGTGACTAAGTATAGTGTTGATGGCACTGCCACCTGGTATCGCAGATTCGTGCACGCTAACCAGAGATGTGGCGGTGAGCTGGTATTTGGTCGCGGACACGGAAAGCGCAGTGGGTGTATGGGGCAATGAGGAGGGGATGGGCAAGGTGTCACGGTGGCAGAGGTGATTCCATACAAGGGTAGACTGGAAGTGTGTTGAGAGGAGAAGAGGCCGTGCTGTTGGACAGATGATGGATCAACGAGCATCCAAATTGGAAGACAGCGATGGAACCGTCTGGACGTGGTCGACATACTACGGAAGCAAATTGAAAAAACGGGGTCCAACATGCACAAATATTAATATTTGCACTGAACGTCTTGCCGAGACACGCCACAGTTGCCGGTGCAGGTCCAACTCAGATTCTCGTCCAGATCTCGTCCCTTGCTTGTTCCCATGCTGCCTTCCGAATCCGTGCTCGTGCAGGACCCCGAGACCCAGTCTGTTATTCCAGCCACTATATTTCCGTATTGGAAAGTACATCCAATCGTCCGTTTCGCATGTCTCCCGGTCTCGTCGTGCGTTACTTATATCCGCCTGAATGGCTTAGAACGCGACTTGTGCCCCTTCTCCCCTCTCCCCCACATCGCATATACCTTCTTGTATAATTCCGTATATACCATACTATCTCATACTCTCTTGCTCTAGTCTTTCTCTTGTTCCATACCTTCGATCATATCATCACCATGGGCCCCTCTCCAAAACAGCAACGGAGGGCCGGAGCGCCAAAGGCCAAAGGTGCAGTGCGCGCCAAGTCGGGCTGTTACACGTGCAGAATACGTCGCAAGGTCAGTCATCACCCTTATAATAGATCTCCTTTTCTTTTCCTCTCTTTACTCACAAGTGGCGCGTCTTACAGAAGTGCGATGAGCAAGCAGATGAAAAGGGCCACTGTCAGACTTGCGTTCGCCTACAACTACAATGTCTTGGTTTTGGTGCGAAACGTCCAGAGTGGCTGCGGGTATGTTCTTTCCTTATCGATCCTCGCTCTAAAAAAACTTTTGTTTATTTTCGGTTTTTTTTAAATAATTCTTCGTGTCTCTGTAGGAAAACCGCAACGTGGTAGAACTACGAGAGAAAATCAAGACTTTCTTGGCTGCTCAGGGAAAGATAAAGGGCCATTCGGGTTCAGGCCCTCGCAGTTCTGATTTGGAACCTACTATTTTACCCCTCACACTGGAGCATAGTTCATCCAGTAGCAGTCCCCGAACCCCCACTTTATCAGTTTCGTCGGGTGATGAGATGCATGTACGCTCACAGTACCACCCGATGCGTGACATTCATCCTTACGCTCATGGCACTAGTGAGCTACCTCACGATTCTTTTCCTATCTACGTATATTCATTTTCTCCAGGTTTGCACCCAATGCAAGAGTTGAGCCCTGACTCTCCTCTTCCTCCTTCTCGAGGGCCATTGTATCCACAAGATCTCCTTCTTCCTCACTATCAAACTTCTATTATGACTCCTAGCTTAGATTCATGTAAGAACTCGTATCGTTATTAAATATATGTATGTATAATAGTACTCAACGCCCTCCTTTGTTGGCAGGGCCGAACAATCAAGCGAATTCAAGTCAGCTCACAACGTACACTAGTCCAGCAATTACGAGCAGTTTTTCTGCTTCCTATAATCGTAACGATGCATATTTTGAGGAGGAAGAGTACCCGCTTGCTGCCTCGGTTGGCGTCAGTGGCGATTTTGGACATAACCGTTTCATGCCAAGGATGACCGCAAACTCTCAGGATCTTTTGCTGTCCCATTACATGCAAAATGTTTTGAAAATCCAGTATCTGCATGCCGACCAATCTATTGACAGTATCGTATGGAGGCTCATCAACGAAAGTGACTCTGCGCGTGATGCTGCCTGTCTCCTATCCGACCTCCATCGCAAGAGCATTCAACGTGTCGGCACCTACGATGACGAAAACGAAAGCCAAGCGCTACTCCAACGTGTTCAGCGTATGCCATTGAAGAAGACTTTCACGGAAGGCGATGCTCTAGCTGGTCTTTGTGTCGTGTCCTACTTCCTCTTTTCTGGGGGCAGTGGACATTGGCAGAACTTCTTGGAGGTTTCTTGCGCTTTCTCACTCAGAATGTTGTACTCTCCACAGTATCGAGGCCCAGCAGACTGTCTTTCGCGATGTAGCGAAACTGTATGCTTGATTGTTAAAACGGCCATGTGGTTTGACGTTCTCGCATCGGCGACACTTGTCAGGAAGCCACGATTCATAGATGTCTTCCGCGACATCTTCAGCGACCGTGCCCCTGCTACATTTGATGGCGTTGAAGTGCTCGAAGACCCTAGATTGTCCATGCTTCCCATCATGGGTTGCGAGAATCACATTGTCCGCGCATTGGCAGAGATCGCCGACCTAGCGGTGTGGAAGATGAATGAAAGGCATAAAGGCAGTCTCAGCGTACCAATGCTGGTACAAAGGGGACTTGAAATAGAAAAAACCCTTGATCCACGACCACGACCACGACCACCGCAATACTTGCATCTAAGCGTAGATGCGGAACTCGAGACACGGCGCCACCTCACGTCTGAGGTATTTCGTGCCTCTGCACGGGTCTACCTTCATTCCGTCTTATCAGGAGATTTCCCAGGATGCCCTGAGATCGTTGACGGCGTGAAGGATACAGTACAGTGTTTGCAACAAGTTCCAGAGTATACTACGACTTCACGCTTTGTGGTTCGCAGTGTGGTGTTCAGTATCTGCATTTGCGGCTGCCTCACGGACAATACGGGATACCGCGCGTACTTCCTCAAACGTCTCGAGGAACAGCAGAAGGAGTCGGTTGGGAACTGCTCTACTGTGATGACGCTCATGCGTGAGGTGTGGAACAAACGAGCCAGTGGTCAACCCGTCGATTGGCGGCAGGTTATGCGCGAATCAACTGTGCTCCTCGTCTGAGGAGGTCAAAGTGTGCAAATGTTCTGCTATTTCCCCCTTCTTTTTCCTATGGATCCACTTTCTATCCCCAAAAACAGTCTAGGCTCGAAGCCTTCCTTTCGTCATGACCTCTGCTATGTTCTTCGAATCGTGTTTCTCTCAAATCTACCAATAATACCCTACACCTACACATTTGTATTTTGCTCCATGTTTTGTTTCGATAGTTTCTGTGCAACTTATTTTTCCCTTCCACTATACTCACCAATCATCCCCAAACATTTTCAATCATAACTACAAGGAATAAATGTCGTTTTTAATTATCATTCGTCAGCATCTTACACACAATTGATAGAGGAAACTGGGAAGTACGCTGATCGGGCGCATCTGTCAGCAGCAATTCTGTGAGTCATTCGATCATCATGCATCATGTATGACCTGCATCGCGGTGGTTTACAGCAACGCTTCCGATCTGTTTATGCCGTACAGTAAATAAAGATGTCCCGTTCACCACAATTCCTTGGGGGTCTCATAATAATATCTGTTTCATAAGTACCGGACTCACGCAGAAACGTTTGTTTCAGTCAGCAAATCGTACCGTGATGTGCCCTATAGCACCATGCTGCAAGGAGCCTTTATGACGGCCATAAAGCTTCTTTAAGAACTGCGAACTTGTATTGATTTCGTATATGGGGCCCCTCGTAAACAAAGTCTTGGGTCTGGCCCTCGCTGGTCCCGACTCGGACAATTTCGCATGTGGGTGTAGAGCGGCCCTGGCTTACAAGGGGGGAACGTGATCCAAATAACGTATCTGGGATTCGAACTTCCCGTCTGTGAAAAAAAGTTCGTAGGACCCGAGTGCTGTCTTCTTGTTTTCATTCTGGGAGGGCTCGGCACCTGCTCGGGACGGTCAACAACTGGAAGCAGGAGGTTCGATTGCTGATACGGGGCCAGATGCAGAAGGTTCTAGGAGCATTTGCAAGGGGAGAGGGGCCTGTTTTGTTCTGTGGTCAACTGTATATCCCGTCTTTGCTATCTATCGTGATCGGTGCTATCTCCATCTGGAATAGTCCGACGAACGGGAAGAGTACCTGTCGGTTGGTCTAATCAGGTTTGGTCGCGAACTCGACCTTCGAATTCAAGGTCCTTTCACTCCTGCGCTTGAATTGGATCCATTCATGAACGTAAATCATGGTCATGAACGCTTTCCCGGTGTCTTGGGATGATGTTTTGCAATAATGGTGTCAATACCAGCGTCAGGATTTCGAGTTGATCCAGAACCTGTTATCTACTTCTCGAACGTGCCAGTGTCATCTTCAGTTAAACCATGTACGGTCAAAGTACTAGTGTGATCATGCACATGCCAGTTAGGCTGTTGATGATAACCTCGCTGATTCGATGATAGCATTGTCCAATAGCAGTAATGTGTTTTTTAAATGTGCTCAACAATCCAGTTGCAACTTCCAGTAGTGGCGCCATGCATAGCCTGGGTGTCAGTGGGCGTCAAACCTTGGCCATGTTTAGCTGAGACATGATCTCGACTGGCACTCCCCCAGCACAGCTTGCTTGCATGTAGTAACCGTGGAGAACATTCTATATTCAATCCTTTCTCGTAATAGCAATTCCCCCCGAATCGACATAATGCCTCACCTGACGACAAAGGCAAGCTACCCTTAGATTGTGAAGACGACCACAACGGTGTTTTCAAAGCTGCAGGCTTCGCGAGAGTCAGACTATATCACGGAAATATGCAAGTTGCGCCTCGATATTTGTTAGCGCATCACAGTGGGAAACCCTCATGGGCATCGTGTATATAGCATGAGCTCATCAAACTACACACCTCGCCTCGAGTCCCAAAGAACATGCCCACGTACCTGCGAACGATCACCATCGATCACTGATACTGGGTGTCTGTCAGGTGCTCCCTCATAGCCTCCGTCAACTATTGTCATTCAGGCACGAACTGGCAATCGTCGTGGATTGTCAATGTGGCTGTCACCGACAGACTTTTCTTGCTTTTCCATCCTCGCAGAGCTTTGCTGTGTTCCCCGATTCGCCAGGGAATTGCGTCCATTATACTATTACGGTGTCCCATGTCGAACACAGCAGATACCAGTGTGGTCCTCGCATTGTCCTCGTTCTCGCTTCTGCACCGGTAGCGTGAGCCTCTGAGGGTTCGTACGTCTCTCGACACGACTGCAATACCTTTTGGTTCGGATGCTTAGATAATGATATGTTCCCTCGTCGTATCGAAATTACGATCACCCTGCAAGCAGCTGGACGAAAGAGAACAAGTTCAAAAGAAGAATTTCCTTATATGACTGTATTTCCCAATAGCCGCCGCTTTCATGTGGTAATCAAGACGGAGGTTTCCTGGTCCGTCATCGCTCGATAACCTATGCCGATGGGGATGCTTAACCAGGCCTTCTTGCCCGGAGATTTCTTCCGAGAATAGCTCCCAATTCCTATCCCACAAAAACGGACTGCATGCTGTGTTCGTCTCGAGCAGCCTCAGCCTCCCTGGTGACCGCCCCTGTTGGCGTGTCATCATAAGCTTCTTTAAGTGACCGAATTCGATTGTCATCACGCCGTATTTTCTTTTGCGATCGACCTCCGATTTTTTTCTCTTAAACTGCTGTCGGTGAATTCTGTTGTTTGAAGCCGATTTCCCAACGGCATACATTCGGGCTACACCGTGACGTTGTTTGTTGTACCTCTCTCTTTTAAGTCTCGCTTTTGACTCATACCTTCATGTTATTCCAACAAACTTCCCGAGTACAGACTGGCACAATGAGCTTTAAAAATTACAATGCATCAGCAAGCGGGAGTCAGTCTCCTTCATCCGAAAACCCTTCCAGTAATACTTCACCTTCTATCGTCCCCACTCCACTGTCAGGTTATAGAACATCGGACGATACAGACTCACAAAGTACTCAGTCTCGAGACACTCCAAGCAAAATACCCATAGATCTCCCTCGTCCCTCGTCCGCGAGCAAAGGCGGTTGCTGGTACGCTCTATCGTTCCTCTTATCATCATTCATATCCTGATTCATACGCTTGCGTATGGCAGGACTTGTCGTCTACGAAGAAAGGTTTGTGTACTCCAGTCATCTGACCCTCCACAAACAACTGACACATGTGGCGTAATAGAAATGTGACGAACAGAGAGAAAACGATTCTTGCCAGACATGTATACGATTGAAAATCAAGTGCCTAGGATGGGGATCTAAAAGACCAGAGTGGATGCGGGTAAGTGCACTCGAGTCCACCTTGTTTATCACTTACCATTGACCTTCCCATTAGGATAAACAAGCCGTCGAAGCATACAAAGCGGACATCAAGGCGCAACTCACACGAGCCGGTCTTATCCGTGGCCAACCACGAGCAACAATACTACAAGCCACGGCATCAGCATCTCCCACGTATTCATCGCGACCTTACCAGACGGGCAGTCGAAGAGGAACTCCCGGAACTCCTATAGAGAATTCGAGTACAAATAACTTCGACTTCGTGCACCCTCCACACGGTCATATTAACAACCCCACATTGCTGCCTGTCTTCGGTAGGAGCTTTTGATACCGAGTAGAACGGATGCCAAGGTGCTGACTAACAGTTTTAGCGCAGTTACCACAAAACGTCCAAATGCCTACCTACAACGACCCCAACCTCCACAGCGTAGAACACATCACTTTCTCGCCATCGACCCCTTCACACCAGTCGGGCTTGTCTCCAGATATAGGGCATTTTGATCCCTTCCGAGCAATGAATACAACAGTGGAGTATGATCCGCAACCCCACGGCCTGTCCCCTCTGCCCAGTCAAAGTGTTTTCCAGGAAGAACATGTGTTGTACTATTTTGAGCATGTCCGGAAACTACAATTTGTTTTTGCTGGCAACAACGTGACCAACATAACATATTCGGTGAGTCTCAATGGCTCTTGAATTCGTGAGTCTCATTAATCCGAACTTTTGGGATAAAGCTGGTCCTCCAAGAACCGCAAGGCGCTGTGACCAATTCAATATGCGCTTTAGCAAATTTGCATTTCAACAGAATGCGCATGGCTCACAATCTACAAGTGTCCGACCCTAGCCTTGATAATGCACAAGCACGGGCGTTCTATGAAAACGCACTAAGCCAGATATCAGGGAACATGGGTGGACATATTCGTGAATCAGACGCTATAGCGGCTTTACACTTGCTTAGCTTCTCCTTATTGTCTGGTGGATCGACGGATTGGCGGCCCATGTTGGATTTTTCTTGTAGATGGCTCACACAAATTGGCATTATTGGCAATGAGAATCCGAAGTTGGCTATGCTCAACATGACTGCCCCGACAAGGCTGGCTCTGAAAGCAACCATGGTAAGTACAACTCCACATCAACGTCTGAAGGATGTGATTTGATACCTGTACTATACAGTGGTTAGACATTATGTCCAGCATTAGCCTGATGCGACCACCTAGATACATGGACTTCTACCGGCGTCTCTTCCGTGGTGGGAGTGGCTACTGGGCAGCTTCCCATCAAAGTACCATTGAGGACTTTGTCCTTCGGATGGACAATTTGACAGGTTGTCCAGATGACGTTTTATTGGCTCTCGCGGAGATATCGACTTTATCACATTGGAAGGTCCAGGAGATGCGCAAAGGTTCCTTGAGTATGAGGGGGCTTATTCGACGAGGAGATCAAATTGAACAGCACCTTCGTAGCCATCCAGACCCAACATCGTTTTCAGAGGTGGATCCCGTGCCCTTGCACCCCCACTTTCCTTCGCTAGGTATGGGATCTCATTCGCCACATGAACCGACTAGAGGACAAGCCATGGCGCCATTTCCGACAGAAGATGCACGTCGATCTGTAGCTGGGCTATTCCGAGAAGCAGCCGTATTATATTTGCATACAGTTTTGAGTGATTCTAATCCGGGTACGTACCTAGTTGCATTGTAGTTCGAGGTGTCGCTGATTAGGTCGATTGATCTTAGGCGTGCCCGAAATTATAGAATCAGTCAACAGCATCATGAATACCATGAATCAACTCCATCCATCAGTTGTCGACCGTTCGCTGATGTTCCCATTGTTCCTCGCCGGATGTATGACCGATGATCGAATCAAGCGCGAGACAATCAAGGCAAGGTTGCAAACGCAGGATGAATGCTTTGGAAACATACACCAGATACGCAGAGCCATGGAGGTGTTGTGGCAGCAACGCGACTCGCATGGGGGGAGTGTAGAATGGCGGGAGATGATGAGCAGTCCAAATTTCAATTTGTTGCTGGTATAAAGCTCCACCTCGTATCCGTCGTTTTTCCCCCCTTCTTCAACTGATTCATTTTGATACGTCCTGTTCAGTGCTCTAATAGCGGCTTGGTTTAAACTTGTGACTGAATCTCACTTTGTACTCTTTTAATATGGTACCACTTCTCGTCAGCAAAACGATACTTTAATAAAGATAAAATATGCCAGCGTACCACTGAGAACTTTCGCGAGATGAAATATGAAGTGTATATGAAGCCTTGTTGCGCATATATAGCCAGGCTGATCTGCAGTGACATAGACCATCATTTGTGAGCTTTGCGGAAGGCGTGTCAGAAGACAGGAATGTGCAGAGGGCCATATATACCGATTGACCGGGAATTCCACTTCCCCTTTTGTACATCTGACGACCAATGATCATCGAGAAAAACAAAAATACACCGAATTACGAGAAGGCATACCTGCACGGCCTTGAGGTTTCAAACCCGTTGCCTCCCGAGGCTCCCGTACTTAGCGCAAAACAAATACTTTGTAGGTCGCCAGTGCTGTATGGCGCTGATAAGCTTACGAACATATGTAGCCGGTGCCATGCTTGATGTCAATAGAGCCCAGCGCTCAGTGTTGTGATAGCACAACCTGGTGGCTGGAATAATAAAGGGTGCGAGATGACGGTCTCCGTTGTGATTTTGATTTCTTTGCTGTCCAAGGCGCAATTCAGAAAGATCGAGGACACAATGAAAACCTTGAGCGCTTGAGCAAGAAAACCAGCATCCTCGGACTTCAGATCTTTTAACAGAGGTGTGGTGCCGGGTATAAGAAACAATTACCGGCACACAGCCCAAAGGCGCAAATACACAAAAATAAAAGACACGTGATCATCACGTTCAGAAAGACGAACCGCGTCTCTGTACGTAATTCTTAGCATTGCGGTTGCATGTTGCACTTGGTCTCTTTCCTTTTGAACCCACACTTGACACTTTGGCTACGGTAAACACATAGCGAAGCATACGAAACAATCACCGTTCTGCACAATGTTCAAAGGAATATTGCCTTCAAAGAGAATATCTTCGTCTGAGTTCACCATGGTTACTAATTTTGGAGACGATGTCCTCCAAGGCAAGGAAAATATCCCAGACACCACCGTGTCCGGCGCGCCAGCGAAGTCATCCAAGGCAGCTGGTAACAAAGGCACAACAAAGTCTGCCAAGGTACAGAAAAGTAGCAAAGGCGTCCAGGACATACCAGTGGAACCAGTGATGATGAACCAGGCATTTGACAAGCTACTGGTGAGTAAACACTACTTGTTGTCTTGCATAGCCGGTACAAGCGAGTTATCATTATTTATATAGGATGACCTGCAAATACCTTCTACACTACGCCCTAAACTGGCTGGCATGGATTCAACGGTGAAAGCTGCCATGCTCAAGTCGTCTCATGTTCTTACGCACAATCCACCCGTTTCACCACCTCCTACTCCTCGAACGCTCCGAAAAGCACACAGCAGCGAATCTTTGGGATCTCCTAACCACTTGAAGCCCTTGATCAGCTACGATATTTCTAGGCCTCCCATGACTGCTGGGTTTACTTCAGGCTCTGCCATAGCAAGCCAAGCATCTGCCTCCGTATATGCACTCAACGCACTTCCGTCTGGCCACGGGCGCGGCTCATCAATGGATGCCTACAATACCCTGTCTCGCGGACAAGCTCCTCCTGTCATTCCTGGTGACCTCATCGCGGGCAAAGGAAAGGAAAAAAGCTCCGCCAAAAACATTACACCAGTCAAGTTTTGCAGTATCATGACAGGCACTTCTAGTACACAATTAGACGTGGAAACGGTGAAGAAGCTCAGACTGATGTTGCGAAACGAGTCTGCTAGGTATTTTTCTTTACCTTGTCATGTACATGCCACACAATTTGATGCATCCGCCTCCCTAGCTGGTCACAGGAATTTCTTCGTCTCGGAGGTTACAACGCACTGCTGACTAGGCTGAATGAGATACTAGAAGTTGAGTGGAGGTATGTCTTTAGCTTGCCTCATATTATATATTGATTTGTCTCATTCACCGGTATCATAGGGAAGAACAACACGATGATCAGATTTTGCACGAACTATTGCGTTGCTTCAAAGCACTCTCCACCTCTTCCATAGGATGCTTTGCTCTCAGAAGCTCCAGCCCAACTCCATTTGTTCAACTTGTCGCCTTGCTCTATTCGGACAAGAAACCTGGCGAAGTCGCCACTCGACAACTCATCGTTGATCTGTTACTTATTCTATTTGACCTCTATCCTTCGTCATCTCTTCCTTCTGCAGGGGGAAGGCCTCGCAGGGAGGCTTGGGAATCTACTGTTTCCATCCCCGCTCCTAGCAACCTCATTACACTACCTGTCCCACACAAAACGTTTTTCTCGCTTATTCGTGCATTGCTCTTGACACCCGCACCCCCTCCTACAGAATCTCCTGCTGCGCCGGTATCCCCGCATGCATTCATCGAATCACTCCATCGACCTAGAATATATAAAACGTATCTGCAAGAACTATCCGATATTTGCAGAGACTACTTTTGGGTATTTTGTCATCCAAATAATACGATATGGAATCTTGCCGATACGGACGAAGGAAAGGTAGAAAGACCAAGAGCCCCTGGAGGTATGACAGGAGGCGTCGAATTCGAAGCTATGGGTTATTTTGTCAGTTAGCATCATAAATGTCTATTATTTTACGCTGATCGTTTCCTTCCTCCCGTGTAGACCACACACCTTAAACTTATAAACGCTATTGCGAAGGCTGCAGAAGACTTGGGTCATCCAAAAGAGTATGAGATGTCAGGATACAGGTTCCATTCAGACCTCTTTGCTTCTGGATTGGAACGAATCATTCTGGTAAATTCATTCTTCTGTTTTGCGTATAGATTTTCAGCTAATGCATTTCGTCATGGGATCAGGTTGCTCGCAAGGCATCGACTACATATTATCCAACTCTCCACCTTGAGCTAGCACGATATATTGTACTCGTTGGGAGGTCGAGATACGAGCTCCCATGGACAGTATCGCGATTGATTGGCCCTCCTCCAACCGCTTTAAGCAAGCTTGGGAGGTCATCGAGGACACCTAGAGAAGGACAAGATGCCAGTAGTTCGCCAACCAAGAGAGGCGCGCCCGGATTCGTTGGTATACCGTCTCCAAAGACGATTGAACCTATTAAATTTGAGTGACAGGGATGTGGAACACTCTGGGGCGGATCTTCGACGGTGTATATTACTATGGCGCGATACTGGTTTTAACATGCTTTTTTGATACAATGTTACGTTCATGCAAATTTGTTCCTTGCTCTTTATAAATGCTACTCCTGTTTTTTTATGAAATTTGCATGTTGTTGCTCTTGGACTCGACGATTATAGAGTCGATCATTGCACATAAAATTGATATTTATTCTCGTAGAGCTTCGTAAGACACATGTTATAGTCCTGGTCAAAAGGCCACCCCAGGATTTTGACTACTAGGCACAAAATTATGGGTGCGGGTGCTTTGGCGTGAAAAAAAGCAGGGGCCCCCTAGCTAGCCAACTGGAGCTTGATGATATCAGACAGTTTTTCTGCTGCGGCAATACATGCACCAGCCTAGCCATAAATTGCCTTGTCAGTTGCAAGTTTAAGCCATTCATACTGAGGGAAATTTGAAATACCGGATGTCCTGACACTGGCGTTGAGAACGTTGAAGCATCGCATATCCTCAGATTTTGGATTCCGTATACCCGTTGTTGGGAATCAACAACACCGTTCTCCTTCAATGGGGCCATGCGACATGTACTACTGGGATGATATAATGTCTCGACGCGGTCACGAACTACTTGAACGAGCTCTTCATCGCTTAGGAACGGAAGGTGATGGTCAAGCCCCGGATGTTTGCTATCAGCATCGACGATGGAGGAAAGCGGCTCCGTTTGAGCAATCTTTAAAGCCGCTCTGAGCCCCCGAACGAGAACATCAACATCATGTTGAGTTTGACAATAGCTTGATTAGGCATTAGTTTATGGCGATTTATCAACATAATGGCTCACTTCGGATCGATCAGAGGGTCTTCCCAAGGGCTAGCAGACTTGAGTCGAACCGTGCCTACACTGGTAGGCCTGAGTAGAGGTGTTAATGACATTTTGAGTCGGGGAGGTAAATAGCTATCACACCTTAGCAATGCTACATACATACTGAACGCATGAATGCTGGGTTCAAAAACATTGGTGTGATCTTCCAGCGCCAGTGGAGCATGGATAATTTCGAGATCAGGACTTTCAGGACCAGAGGTGCTGTCTAAAATCTTTTCAGGAAAATCTTTTGAGGGAAAGACAATGGGGTCATCCGATCGAAAGAAAGCAGCAGCCTCTCCGAGCTACAAATGGATATCATTTATGATTACCTTGTGAAAAGAAAGAGAATGACTTACGTTGGAAGCTATCGGGCCTGTTCCAAAGAGCTGGTATTGAACCATCGCCTTGACAAATTTTATGGTGTTGAGAAAACCGACTGCACTCAAAAAGTTAGATGTAAGGCCTGTTCTTTCTTTGCAACGTATATTGACAACAGGGTGATCAACCAGATGAGAGCCTACACCGGGGAGGTCATGCACTAACTGTATCCCATGGCCTTTAAGATGATCAGCAGGCCCCACGCCCGAAATCATCAGGAGCTAAAACGGATTCAAACGGTACTCTTAACAACAAAGATAGTTTTATGCTTACATGGGGAGAGTGTAATGCGCCGCTCCTAGATCACAGTAAGTTGCTGAACCACGAACTTAATCATAACTTACGACAGGATGATTTCTTTCCGAGCACGAGCTTGAAAAGACTGTCCACCCTGCGATGATGTGAAATTCACTCCAACTGCACGAATACGACCATCAACTTTTTCAAACAGGATTCTTGTGGCTCGGGCATGAACGACCACTTTGAGATTGTTCCGGGATAGAACTGCGTCCGTGAGATAAGCAGTTTCTGTCGACACCCTCTGACGCCGTTTGCTAACGTATGTCACTACACCAGAATGGGCGAATGAGAGAAGGAACTGAGAATGGGAAGGCTTACTGACTTAACTGTAATTTGGTGGGCCACACGGGTCATGGAAGTGAGTATAGTGGATATAGTTGACGGGATATGACATCGACCCATGACTCACCCTGTTGATCCCTATAGATCCTTCAGCAAGGTTGAAGTCCGGGGACAGCGGAATGCCAATATTAATGCCTGATTTGATAAAAAATTCGCAGCCCTTCCACATATTCGTGAAGTAGCCAACTTCTACGGGACCTTGGGTCCCGCGCTGGGAGGCATCAGTCTGAGAGAGTCTTGGATCGGGAGTAAACTTTTCGAATTTTCTAAAGTAACTGAACGTAGTCGTGTCAGCATCAAAGTTAAAGATTGTAGCCCACAAGCGCCTTACCGATTAAAGCTGCTCCATGACCACGATTGATCGCCCGTGACTTGCGCCCATTCATCAAAGTCTGATGGTGACCCATACTGAGCCCTGATATTGACTGTCAGGTCAGAAATACACCGATAACAAGAAATACTAACATCATCGCATTCACAGATGAGCCTTCAGGTTGTTAGTCCAAAGTTAGCGCAGGAGGTTACAAAGCTTACATCCTCCCAACAGTTTACCTACAAATATGGTGAGTATGGCACTGGAACATGAATCATAAACTGATTATTACCTCTAGGCATGTATTTCTTTTTGCCATTCGCGTGTACTTGAGGCGTTGTGTAAAGCTGATAGCCATATTGAGTTCGAAGGGCAGGGCCCCATGCTGAAGGAAGTCTACTTTCAAGTACTTGCTTCCCACTTCAAGAGCTATGAGCATGTTTGAATTGCACAAAGCTATACATGAACGAACTCACCTTCCACCTGCTTCTATCACTAGAACGCGTAAAGAAGGATCCTCTGTCAAACGAGAAGCTAGTACACAGCCAGCCGTTCCTGTAACATACTTGATGTAAGTCCCTAAGTACTAATAATATGCACCCAGCTTGTAACATACCTCCGCCGACGATGACGACGTCGAACTCATCGTAACTCAAGTCGTTGACTCGACGAGCTACCGTAGAATAATCAGTGACAAATCTTGACCTCCTCACAAGAAAGTGACGAAGATTAATGGCGAGAATGGCCAGCAATCCTCCTGAGATGTACCGATAGTACCCGGCTTCTTCCTGGAAGATAGCCCGGATTATAGGAAGTGCATCAAGTATTTTCCGCATTCCGCCAGCCAGATATAATGACATCGTGTAAATATATATGTCTTCGCGTTTTTTAGAGGACTGCGTGTGTGTGCGTGTGAAAGAGAGAGGAGGGAGGGAGGGAGAGAGAGAAAATGCGAAGTCTTTGCCAGATTTAAGGAGGCCCAAAGGATTCCAGCTTACCGGTTGGATGTGGGCGAACCTGCATATTATATATGGCACTCAGATTTAGCGATTCTACTTTATGAGTAGACTCACACACATACCGGAAACAGGGCCCATCTTAACTTATAATAGATTCGATCAACCCAGGCTTTACGAGAGGTTTCTGTTTTCGACATTCAGGTGATGAGGCTACCAGTACCCAGCTTATCGACTTTAAATATCATGACCTTGAGAAGATTGTCTGTGCGTTGGAACGACCCACACGTCATGCGCGTGCACACAAAACGGAAACACCTAATCGAAGGAGCAAATAAAACATGTTATTGACAGCCGCTATCGATGGGAAATTGGCAATACCTAACTGAAGCACCGCAGAAGCTGCTGGTGAGTTGGAGACGTTATGTAAAACTCCCAATTTCTCAATGTACTATATGTAAAGTATAAACTGTCAGCATCAGTGATTTGGTCTAACAGGGGAGACGACATGACGATTACTCCATAATTTCACAATGTTACCGAACCATGCCATCGTATCGCACTACTCAGTAGTCCGCGCAGATGATCGTAACCAGGTTGATCCTCGAAGTGGAGCTGACGGTAGTGCAAGAAAGCCTGAATACTCCGAGCAGAAGCGGCACAGGTGTTCTAGCGTGGACCGGAGGACATCGAAGATAAGGATGTTGGCATATTTTTCCGTGCCTGACCAGTGTAACCGAGGAATGCTTAGCACTTTACCAGGTTGCTTGTCTTCATATGGTATTAGCAGACGCTGCTGGGGAACGTAACACCTGGTACACGTTCGATTTTGTCAGAGGCTGAGCACCTGCGAAAAAGCGTGTCGCACCATATACACGATCTAACCATGGTGTGACGTGCCGTGAATGTTTGAAATTGTCATTGTCGATGTCAGATAGATACAAAAACACGCATCAAAACTGCCATAACCCAAGTGTTTAGTCAACTGGTATGATTTGGCGATTCTGCGGTTGAAATCCATCGTGAAAGATAGCTGTAATATGCCTACAAGTGAGACTCAAGCTCCAGGGGACATCCTAGTACGTCAGGAGTTAGTGCTACTTCTATATTAAATATCGAGACCACGTACCTCGCCAACCACACCACTGTAAAAGACAAATCTAAGGTATAGAAAAGCTCGAGCAAAGTATGGTTTGGGCTAGTCCACTCAGCATCAGAAGTGACCCTGGGACAAGGTTAACGAGTCACTGCAAGGCTGAGGAAAAGACTCGGAAGAGAACTTCCACCCAACGTTAACGTAACGGTGACTCTCAGTAAAAACGCTCAGTCACATAGAGTCATGTGTAGTCACAGATAGTCATAGCATAGTCACGCAAAGTCAAAGTCTACCCACATAGTCACAGAGTTGACAACATTGAAAATAAATTTGGAAATTGAGACTGAAACGTAGTCACATATAATGTTGTACAGTCAAGTACAGTCATACCATAGTCATATTTTGGTGCAAAGGCTACTCCTTATGTGAATTCACTAAGTCTCAATGCTGCACATTACTTTGAACTTACACTCAGGAAAAGCAATGGCATAAATTGTGACAAAATAACATTTATAATACAACATTTGTACAAATGGTTCTACTTACTAGTCCTCAACTTGTGTACCTTCCTTCTGTTTCTCAAGCTCTTCTTCAGTCAGCCACTCAAGCCCTGGATGTTTTCGAAGCACATATACCCTACTGTTGTAACACCAAATCCCAACAATGTCAACTATAGAAGAAATAGGAAGAACTTTAATATCTTTGGCCCATTTTCCTCTCCACACATTTAGAGTACAATGAACATCCACAAGGGGATGATATACAACAAATTGCTGTGTATTTCCTTCAAGTCCTTCAATTTCATAGAATGCAATTGCTTCACCAAAGATTGGGACCAAATTTGCATCATTTCCTTCAAAGTAACGATGTGACCTTGAAGGAGGGTGTCCATGTAGTTCACTTATCTGGGTGTTCAAGACATTTTTTTTGCTCACATGCATTTTCCCCCACCTTGTGACTGGTATATTTGGATCAAAGGACCTTTTTTCCCAGGACAAGATAGCCTGTATATGAATAAAAAAACTTTGACCAGGTTTATATTCACGTTTTCTGATTGGAACCTTGGAAAAAAATAAGGCCATTTTCTTGGATCCTAGCTCAGTCTGCAATTCAGGGTAGTAGGAGAGGAGAGCTTTCATGACTTCTTTCTCATAGATGAGATTAGCTAAATTTGCAAAAGGTGCTTTTTTGGAACGGATCTTGTGCCCAATTTCTCCAATAGTCCTTTCCACAGTAGCTTGAGAGCCAAGGCGAAGTGATCCATACCACTCAATATACACAGGAACATGGACCAACTGGAAAATACATAATCAAAACCTTGAAATCTTCTCAGGATGTATTCCAACATAGATTCTTTCAAAATCAGTTAAGAATACTTTGATGAGCTGGTGGAGATTAGTCAAATCTTCAGTGCTTCTTGCTTTGATAGTCATAGCAAATTCAAATATAGCCATGAAATGGGAGAAGTTCTGAAGCACTGAGGAGTTCATCCCTAGCTCAATGCCAATTGTTATTATATACCAATACAATAATGCCATCCACTCATAAATTTTGTATTGACTTTGCCTTTTCAAGAGGGGATCACGAACTGGGCCACAAAAAGAGGGTGGCAGAGTTGATATTCCTGAAGCAACTAGTTTACCAAACATTTCTGCCTTTTGTGTGCTGAGGTGGATGGGTTCAGATTGTGAGCTATGGATTGTCCACAAATCCCATATAAATGCAACAATATTCTTAAAAAGTAAATGAAAAGGATCAACTGGAAAAGAAGAAGGATGAATAAATGCTGGGCTTGCTGCTGCTAGAGGCATGTGAGAAATTCCTGTTTCTCTTGTGATTTTAGCACGAAGATTTTTGACTGTAGTATCATTGAGTTGATTGATTGTACTCCAATAGTGCTCTTCAGTACACATTGGCAAATTGTCCAGGTTGTATGTGGGGCGCTCACTGTTATACTTCTGGTTTTCTGGTGGTGATAATGGATAGTACTGAGCCTTAGCACCTTTTTCAAGACTGGATCTGGCCCCTTTGATTAAAACAAATCTATCACCATAATTTGCAGTATGTCCAGTCATTCCATTTAACTTTGCTGAGCCTAATATATCTCCCAGTATCATAGACATGTACATGCGGTTTATAAAGTAGGAGGAATCTATAGCATCCCACATCCATATGCCTTGACTGCATTTTGCTGCATCTTGAAAAAGGGGATATACAAATGATTCAATATTTTCTGGACTTTGGGGTCCTGGAATGGCCATAGTTAATATGATATTGTTAGAATGGTACCTCAATTCTGGAGGGAGGTTGAGCAATATCAGAATTAATATCCAATTATCAGACTGTTTCTTCATAGTAAGCTGAGCACCATCAGTAGATAGTGCAAAAGCAATGTCACGTTCATCCTGAAACAACCCCATGTTTTTGTAGTGATGTTCATGAACACTTCCACTGGGGAAGTCAGAATATCTTGCCTGAGCCTGCACCCCAGAACTTTGAGATCCAACTGCAAGTAACTTTAGTGTTTCTTGTAAATATCTATCTCTGTATCGCAGGAGTTGTGATGATTGCTTGTTTGCAAACATTGCTTGAATGATTGAGATAAAATATACATATAGCATTTGTGCTCTGGGCTTAGGTTTAGATCCAGCAATGTAGCGCTTCTCTCCACATGCAATCCGGCCCTTTATAGTGTGAGGACAAGATTTCAAGTCCTTGAAGTCCCCTGTATATGCAATACAGCTCCTTGGGCACATATCAATCTTTACAGGCTCAACCTTGGCCAGAGATCCGGCCAGCTTGCAAACAGCATATAGTGACAATATGTCTAACTGACTAGCTTGTTGTAATACCTGTGCATGCAGTTCATATGCCTTGACAGTACCATTTGACTTCTTCCATGCAATGTAGTGTTTGAGGCTGTGGATCTCTAAATCTGTTAGGCTGCTTGGCTCTGAAAATGAGGATGGGGGAACAACTGGACACTTGTATCCATCTAAGAGTTTTGCTTGCAGGTCCCTTTGAATAGGAGGATAGTTGGCAACAGTACTATTACTAAAACTTGTTTGATTTTCAGTATTTGCCTGTGGCATTGTGTACATATGTTCAGAGGCCCTTTGGCCATAGTTCTACCATGTTTGAGCAAAATCTGCGCTGTGAGTGAAGCTGGCCATGCTGATCATTGTACAATTTCATCATATATTTACAGTGTGAAGCAACTTTACATTGCAGTCCCGAGCAATTATCTGCCCAGTAATACCTATGTAATTGGTGTCTCTACAACCACAGCATATTCCGCATAAATTTGCTCTCCATACACAATGGACTGGAGCAAATCTCCGTGCTCCAGAGGGCATTTGGTGATTATCAGGCAGAAATGCGGGGTCAAGCGTGACAGAGTGTGACAGGGCATGTGTTTGGTGAACGCATCGTGAAGTTTCTATTCTTAACGCGAGGAGACAACAAATGATGATGAGTGATAAGGAACATCATATGCCATCACACACCGTCACAGCGTGAAAGGCAATGTTTTGCTGTGACGCTGCTGGCCAGGAGATTTCTCAGTGTCGGTCTTGTTCATCTACACAATTAAATATATAGAGTATACATGTCTGTTCGCATTATACAAATCAGAGAGTTTCTGTCTATTTAGTTTCTTAGTTAATGTGTTGTATTGAGCTTGAGGCACGTGGGTTGATCTGGTGTGAAAAGGACTGGTAGTGCACTGTAGTAGTAGCTCATTGATTTTTTCAGGCCATTGTCACTTTAGACAATGAGTCTGAATAAGATATAGATATTTCTATTGACGGCACGTCAGGATGAGAAAGCCAAGCGGCTTGCATGTGTGCATGCTGGGCGGCTAGTAGATCCGAGTGAATGGTAAATTGGTTTCCGTAAGATTCAGTAAATACCAGGTATCATCCGGTACTTCACTCTCCCTGCCCATTCTTCCCCATTCTTTCCCAAACTTTCTCTTCATCAATTCATCCTCAGCCAGACATCTCCTAATCAGAATGAAGACTGAAATGATCATTGAAGCCACCCAGGTTACCACTGTAACCTTCACTAACATATTACCAGTAACGCCAGAATCTCTTAACCATGACCCCAAATGACCATGCACCATGAGAACACCTAATAAACACATCGCCGTGGTGGTATAGCTTGGATGGCATACGAAAGAGTAGGGTCCAGCAGTAATCAGTTGGTGATTTGTGTGTACACCAAGGTTGAACATAAATAGTTGTCCCAGAGCACGATAGCATGTCCAACGGAGAATACCAGCAACAGTCATGAGGGAAGCACCAACAAAAAATGGAGCTGTCATTGGGCGGGCATCTGAGCTAACCAACACCACGCAATTCAGGATAGTGAGAGCACCTGGCGGAAGACTTAATGGAGGGAGTAGTGGCAGCACAATAGCGGCAGTCTGACAAATGTTGAATAGCCAGAACAATGCCTGGAACAAATATATGTTGTACTTTGAGCAGTAGAATGAAGGACTGATGTAGGTAAATACTTTAAGCGGCCGCAGACTTGCAATGATAGTACATTCAAAAATGTATTCGTGAAAGGAAGGTTTTACCACCTGCAGAGTGGGAGCATTCAGAGGAGTGATAGTAATGAGAATGACAAATACAGGTAGATGATGAATATCCTCAGGCAAGTGGTGCATCCGGAGCGTCTGAAGACTGATAAGTTCCGCTCAAGTCCAATTTTGGGGGATGATCGATGACACACCAGCGAGAAGGGAGTTACAACATCATGACAGGCCGCATCACAATAATGCTAAGCATGTATATTATACCGGCTGTATAGCTTGGATGGCGCACGATGGAATAGGGCCCAGTAGTGACGAGTCGGTGGTCTTTGCGTCCGCTGAGATGGAAGGTGAATGATGGTCCAAGAGCACAATAACATGCCCAATGCAAAAGACCACCAAGCGTTGCCAGGAAGGCTCCAATGAAAAAAGGAGGCGTTATAGAGCAAGTATCTGGGCCTCCTAGTACATTTATGATGTCGTGAACAATTGGTGGAAGTTTCAAAGGAGGAAGTAGCAGCAGTCTAATGGCAGTGATCTGAGCTAAGGTGAGTAACCAGGTGCTTGACTAAAATTATAATTGTCAGTTATTACTCGAACAGTTGATTGACCTCGATGAGCACCCTAACTGGCCAAATACTTGCTGTTACGATAACACAATTTTCGGACCTTTAAATTTCATTCTCCTCTTCAACTTTCTTCTATAGTTTTCACACACTGTGCCATGCGGCACCTTCCTTTGTTCAAACTCCCCTTTTCTCACGCTGTGCTGCTTTTCTTTATTTATGGCTACAGAACTCTCACGCAGTGGAGCTGGTCACACGGGCTGTGCCCCATGACATCATCAGCCACTGCTTCCATCAACTATATAGTACACATGTACAAATAACCTGTAGTAATATAAATACCCAATAGATCCAGAAGACTCCTCAGCGAGTCCTCCTGTTGTTTACCCACAACTAACTCGGTCCTATCCTAAAGGGTAACCACTCCCCTCACTACCTTTATGGCTTTGTCTGAGTTGTGCGCCAGAGTATACAAACTCTTGGTTGTTACACTTGCCGCAACATAGCTGAAACAAATTTTGCAAAAGGAAGGTTTTGCTAGCTCCTGACAATCAGCAATATGCGGAGGGGTGATGGTGACATGTAAGCCTATAGCTGATGACAGGAGAAGGACAGCCTTGAGAAGAGACATGGGGTATTTTGCATTATGCTCGAAGCTGTTGGGACGTGGCCTTTTTATCCTAAAGAAAATGGATATCAGGTACTTGAAAGACCAAAACTGGAAATGCAGTACCACACAAAATGGTGGGGCACATGCGACCATTGCTATGGATAAAGACCTTTATGCCAACTCATCTGGCCCTTAAGAACAACTTGCCAAGGAATGAGTATTACGGTAAACGTAAATTGCATATTCTTGGCATTGACCTTGACTTCCAGAGTCTGACACATGATTAGAAGCTAATGCAGCCGAAGTCACTGGATCAGGTATGAATAATCATGTAATATCCGCCTGACAGAAATGCTTAGGAATGTGAGGAACTTTGGGTGAATTGGTTGGGGGCTGCAGTGCAAAAATTAGGGCGGTGAGAATGGTTCATATAAATTCTCGGATGACTAGAGTTTTGAGGGCATTGAAGAAGGAGAAAAACTTGTCCCAGATCACTAAACAACATAAGATCAGTGAAGTCAAGGACTTCCGAAACAGGTTACGCACAGATCATGATTTCAAATGTTGTTATAATAGGAACATCAGATGAACTATGAGAAACTTGGAGGAGTTGAGCTGAGTAAGAATCATTGCCATGAACAATTTGGTTCAGATGAATTCAAATCTAATGTGTTCGTAAATAGTGCATAGAGATATGACAACGGGCTGAGCTCACACAGATACCAACGGCCATGAATGCGTGGGCACTCCTGAGAAATGATGTTCCGCAAATATGAACTGTTACCTTGAACAGGGTACACAGCACATTGACATTATATTCCCCTTGAAATATAATGAAATTTTGCGGTATGGTTGCCAAATCGTACTCTTGCTTTTAGAAACTGGGGGAATAATCAATTACATAGATATGACCAGCACCATCAAAAGGAAGATCAGTATATGCCAACTCAATAGATACCAGGAATCAGCCAGTACTTCACTCTCCCTGCCCACTCCTCCCACTCCTTCCCAAACTCCTTTTTCATCATCTCATCCTCAGCCGGATATCTCATAAACAGGACTATAGTAGAAGTGGACATTAAATCTGCCCAAGCTATGATTGTGGCTCTCGCCCACAAATTGTCAGTGACGCCAGAGGATCTCAACCAAGACCCTGCATAACTGTGCATCAAGAAAATGCCCACTTGAAATGTACCAGTGGCAGTGTAACCGGGGTGGTGTACTACAGAGTAGGGTCCACTGCACTGGGTGCATAGCCAAATATATCCATGAAAAACAAAAGCAAAAAACCTGGAAAACAAAAATACGTTCTTCGAGGTAAGTCAAACATAGTTATTTGTAAGCTTACCACGTGCGAGCGACGCCTGCTATGCTACAGATCTGTATTCGAGCA